TCCACCATCTTTCCTGTCCCCCTGCTCCCTCCCCCTTTCCCCTTCTCCCCTTCGCCCTATCCAAAATTACTCCATGCTCCTGCACAACCCCCATTATAGATCAGCATCCACTTATCAGAGAAAACATTCAGCCTTTGGTTTTAGGGTATTGGCTTACTACACTTAGCATGATATTCTTCAACTCCATCCATTAATCTGCAAATGCCATGACTGTAAGTAACCAGAGGTTGTAGGTAAAAGATGAAAATTTTATTATTTACTCTTCACAATGGTCAAGATACAGAATCAACAATGAATGAACATGTCTCCTCTACACTAGAGATTCATAATCCTGTCTTCCAATTGTAATCACCTGGGGAACTCCTAAACCTGAAATGTCCCAGACCAATTAAATCAGAATGTCTGGAGGTGCATCTCAGGAATTAGTATGTTTAAAGTTTTATTGTAGTTTCAGTATTAAGTCATAGTTAAAGATAAGCTGACTAACTAAATGTTCAGGTTTCCTCAGGAGTAAAACTTCTCCAACAGCACAGTGCTAAAATTGCAACTGTCCTAGGTAAACCAGGAGGTTATTCACTCTGCACTGATCCACACTTTCATGCAGAACCATTCTTGAGTGATGTGTTTTCTATTTTTGAAAAGTCAAGACTCTTTGGCTTCATGCTTTCATTCAACACTTTTCTGATTACACTTAATCACTGCTTCCTGCTCTGTTCTTGCTCAGGTTTATGTTTTTATCGACGTGGGTAGCATGCACATTTGTAACATGTGAATGAAAAGGGGGATGAATAAACCGTTAAAGCAAGTCAGCAATGACCAAGAGAACAGCTGAAGAAGCAAAGGGTCCTCACATGTGCAAGGCCCTAGGTTCAATCCACAGCACCACAAAAAACAAGCAAAGGGTCTCTCATACACTATTGTGGGAATGCAGAGCACAGCCACTATGGAAAATGAGATGGAGTCTCCAAAAAATCTTGGAAATAGAACCACCATACGATCCTGTAATGCTGGATCCAAAGGAAATGAAATCACTAAGTATAAAAAGGAAATAAAGCCAGTATGTCAAAGAAACTTCTGCTCTCACATTTACTGCAGTACTCTTCACAATGGTCAAGATACAGAATCAACAGATGAACAGATAAACAAAATGTGGTCCATATGTGTGAGTAGTATTCAGCCATAAAAATAATGAAATCCTGTCATTTGCAGTAACATGGATGGAACTGAAGACATTACGCTAAGTGAGATAAGCCAGAAATTGGAAGACAGACAATACGTGTTTCCACTTCTGTGTGGAAGTTAAAAAGTTGATCTCATAGAAGTACAGAGTACAAGAATGGTTGCCAGAACCTAGAAAGGACATGGCAGGGAGGTTGAGATGAGGGAATGGATACAGTGGGGCAGCTACAGCAGAAGGTACTTTCTAATGTTCTGCAGCACCATAGCTTATGTTCAGTTAACAGTTAACAGCATATTTCAAAATAGCTCTTTGCGTCACCCAGCACACAGGCCTACAATTCCAGTGGCTCAGGAGGCTGGGGCAGGAAGACCATGAGTTCAAAGCAAGCCTCAGTAAAAGCAAGGCGCGAAGCAACTCAGTGAGATCCTGTCTCTAAATAAAATATAAAAAAGGGCTGGGGATATGCCGCAGTCTGGCTGGGCACAAAATCACGAGCCACTCAAGCAGGAACAAAGTTTATTTTTTGAAACTGCCGCCAATGTCCGGTACCGCCCCGGAAGATTTTTTCCACCCCTGCGGCCTCCTCTCGGAACCGCAGAGAGCGCTCCTCCCCCGGAACTCCCTCCTACTGTACTTCCCCAACCAATGGGAACTCTCCAGGAGTCCCGTAGCCGGCCTAGGTGAACAGCAGGAATCCAATATCCATATGAATGCAAATCTTAACATAATCATATCATCTCAATGGCTAGCTGGCGTCACCTTTTGACCAAAAATGTCATGCATCATATACTTGGCTCTTAGCAGGGATATGGCTCAGTGGTAGAGTGCTCCTGAGTTCAATCCCTGGTACCCCATCCCCCCAAAAAAGTCAATGTCAAAATAGCTAGTCAAGAGGAATTTTTTTTTTGGTACTGGAGATTGAATTCAGGGGTACTCAACCACTGAGGCACATCCCCAGTCATATTTTGTATTTTATTTAGAGACAGGGTCTCTCTGAGTTGCTTAGCACCTTGTCATTGCTAAGGCTGGCTTTGAACTCACAATTCTCCTGTCTCAGCCTCCCAAGCTGCTGGGATTATAGGCATGTGCCACTGTGCCCATCCAAGAGGATTTTGAATGGTCTCAATTTAAAAAAAAAAAAAAAAATATATATATATATATATATATATATATGAACTAATCATTATACCTACATGTATCTAAATGTCTCACTATATCCCCATTAATATGTACCATTACTATGTGTCAATTCAAATATATTTATATTTTTTAAAAGGAAAACAATAAGCAAAAGAAGATGTAAAGTGCCATCCTTCCAAATGCAATCCAGTGAGCCTTCACTTTTACTTTCCCTCTAAATTGATGACACTACATTTTGACACATTTCTATTTATCACTATTTATACCTGTTACCCTGGTATGAAGTTTTAGTCACTGTTGTTATCAAGAAGAAAGCTAATTTTCTTAATGGAAAATTCCCTGTGCAAACAAAATTATTATTCATCAATCCAAACACTCATCAATCTACTCCAAGATTGTGGTTTATATGAAACCCTTCGACGTGTGGACACCAGGATCAGAAATATTCTTCCACCTATGAAGGGAACATGACCCTACAGCTCTCCAGGACCATCTTATTCAAAGTGTGGTTCCAGATCATCAGCAGCAGCAGCATCTGGGACCCTGCTAGAAACGCAAAGACTCAGGCTTCAACCCAAAGCTACTGAGTCAGAATATCAGCAGGTGGAACACAAGAATTTGTGTCCTAAAACAGCCTCAGGTTATTCTGATGCACACTACAATTTGAGAAGAGCTATCTAGCAAACACCCTGTTTTCTAATTGTCCCCAGAAGGAAGAGGTGAGGATAATCAGGGAAAGTGGTCTAGGTTCCCAGCCTCTGCTACACATAGGAAACACTTGGAGAGCTTTAGCAATAATCCCAAGAAATACTATTTAATTGGTCTGAGGTGCAACCTGAGCACAGGGATGGTTAAAAGCTCCCCAGGTGAGTCCATGGGTGGCAAAGTTTGGGAATTACTGGTACATATGGCTTCATCAGCAAAAGCCCTGCCCCTGCCTTGCTGCTTCTCCTCTCCGCTGCTGATCACCCATAGGAATGGGCACTATATGCAATGACTGTCCCTCCCTCCTTCAGCAACATCAGAAGCAGCAGTGGTGGGAGCCCACTGGGTGTGAGGCTCACCTCTGCACCTGAGCACTTGTTGTGTTCACCCACTGTTAGTAGCTGATCTTTGACATTTTACCCCAACCCCTCTGGACCTTAGTATCTTCCTCTATCCAAAACAGACAGTAAGACCCAATTCTCAGGATTATTTAGGACCCTACATTTGATGCATGGAAATGCCCCATACTTTTGCTTTTGAAGACATAAGAGTCTTCAAAATATCTGAGCCAGGAAAGAATTGTTTTCTCTTTACCCTCCTTCCACACTTTGAGATATTCAACAGCATGAATTTGAGCAAATATCAAGGGATATCTTTTCCTGAGCGCACCAAGGGTGTCGAATTGTGAAAAATCTGTTCTCATGTGAATTCACATATATGATATTCAGTCTCACAGAGCCTCAGCCAGGTAAAACAGGATATTTATATGGTCCCCATTTCACAGATGACCAATAGTGGTATAGAGAAGTCCATGGTCATGCACACAGTCACACAATGGCAGACTCAAGAAACCCCATGTTCCCTCTGCCTACCACACTGCCTCCACTCTCAGCCTCACATCGCCAACTTGTAGTCTGCATTCATAGGCAGCTTGCACTGACCAGCTCTGTCCCAATGGGATCTTCTGTAAAGATAACAATGTCCTCTCCGTCATCTCCGATCCACCAGCCACTAGCCACATGTGGCTCTCGAGCACCGAAATATAGCTAAAATAGATGAAGAACAGAAATTTTAATTTTTATTCAATCATAATTAATTTATATTTAAATGACTGCATGTGAACAGCACGGATCCAGACACTGAGTCTGGGGTATAATGAGAAACTGGAAAATCTTTCCAATGGTTTTTCCCCACAACCTAAAGTACACCTAAGCTTCTGTGTGTGTTTCTCTTAAGAGAGCTCAGCTCTTTCTCACCAGAGTACCAACACTGGCCCACTAGCTGACGAGGACCCACCACATGCTAAAGACAATTCCAACCATTCTTGAAATCAGATTAACCACAGGAGCAAAATGTGTTCTAGAAAAGCGCTTCTCAAACAACAGCATGAGCAGGAATCATCTTAAAATGGTTAAAATGCAGATTCTGCCAGGCATAGAGGCTGGGGCAGGAGGATTGTGAGTTGGAGACCAGCTTGTCTAATATAGCTAGACCCCGTCTCAAAAAACAACAACAACAAAAATTCAGCCTCTAATTCAGTGGGCCTGGAGAGGGCCTGAGGTTTGCATTTCTAGCAGTGATGCTGCTATCCTGGGGACCCTCTGAGCAGCCAGGCTGTAGAGCAGGGGTTCTCAGTAGGCTGCTTTTGTTTGCCTCCATACTTTGGAGCCACTTGGCAATCTTGTTTGTCATAACCGGGAAAATGAGGGGAGGGGTGAAAAGTGCTAACTAGAACCTAGGAGACTGAGTTCAGGGATTCTAATAAATAATTTGCAATATATAGGACAGCTCCATGACAAAGAATTATCCTCCCCCCAATTCAATGGTGCCAAGTTCGAGAAACCCTGCTGCATATCTGAGCCTGCTCTTCAGGAGGAGGGGGTCGGTGGCAGAGTGAAAGAGTGGGTCTTCTCTTTACAATAACTGATCCTTGTTTTCTCTCTCCCATTCTTTCCCCCCATTTGTCTACACACAGGTGCCAATGCCTCGGCCCCAGACCAACTGAGTTTAGCTTTAGCCTGGAACAGAGTGGACATCGCTCGAAGCCAGATCTTTATTTATGGGCAACAGTGGCCGGTAGAGTATACATCGTCACCCCCGAAAAGCCCAGTTGCCTGGGCAAGGGTATTTGTTTAAGGAGCTTTTGAGAGTGGCTCAGTAAACTACTGCCTTTTTTTTTTAGGATGAGATCTTGCTTTGCGCAGGAGTACCTGGCCTGGGCGCCTCTTCTCATATTTGAGGAAATGCTGCCACCTGGTGGAAGTTATAACTAAGCACATCTCCTAATAGCCATACATTTCCATCCCTGAATGGCCTTTGAGAGCTGTAGATAATATCTTTTAGCGTGTGTTTAAAGAGACATATAACACAAAGTTGTATAAAGCTGGAATTAGTTTGTTTCTGATTGTCTGTGAGGCGGGCAAAAGGAAGAGGATGCTGCTTCCAAGTGGAGGCGCCCCCTGCTGGTCTGCGGCTGGGTCATGCCTCAGGATGCAGAATTAGAAGCTTCCCGCTTGCAGGTGCCATCTGGTCCTGGTGACTGAGCACAGGTCCTCCCTGCTCCCAAAGAACAACACAAAGAACCGAAGCTTTATATAACTGTTCTTGGTTTGTTTCCCTCAATTGACTCTACCAAAAATAAAAATTTGCGAAATTGCCCATTGGGTGGTATACACATGCATCCACAGGAGGTAATCCAACAGCCCAAAATTTCATTTCTGTGCCTGGAATCCTACAACTCATGGGCAGGTTTCTCTTAACCCTTCCTTTTCCTCAACACCCTTTGGCTGAGCTTAGCAGTTGTCTTCATGTAGAGCTAGTGAATTGCTAGCATGGAAATACTTGTCAAGGAATCTGGACACTGGGAAATTTTTATGAAAGGAATTAAATAAAAATCTTGGCTAGGAGTTGAAGCTAAGTGGTAAAGTGCTTGCTTAGCATGCATAAGGCCCTAGGTTTGATTCCCAGCACAAAAAAAAAAAAAAAAAAAAAAAAAAAACAGAAAAGAAATCCTAGAATCCTAGCCAGTGGCAAACCAGATATTAGGTTGCTCTTTTTTTTTTTTTTAGTTGGGTGACACCAGCTTGCCTCTGTCTTACCCATTTCTACACCTCCTGTATCTATTTAGGCCCTTTGGTCTGTATCCTTGGGCTCATCTTCTCAAGTCAGCCAGGAGTCTAATTCAGAGCCCAGAGAAGGTTAAAAAAAAAAAAAGACAGTAAAATACTTACTTTGGCTCTTCTCGGGCATTGCAGAAATTTGGTCAGAAAATGGCAAGGGGGAAAAAGCCCCCATAAACTCTTGCACCTTCTCGGGATTCAGGAAAAAAAATGGTTCAGGGAAGAAATAGCTTTTGGACCTTGAAATCCTTGACTTCTATTTCCAAAGGCAGGCCCCCGAACACAATGGTTGTCCCAAAGTTGGAGCTGGGAACAGTCTCTCTAGCATGTTCTTGGATGTCCTGAAGATTTACCAGATGTCAAGCCATCCATTTTTAAGCTTTTCAGGCAAATGCCAAGGAACCACATCCATAGACCCCGGGGCAGACTAACTCAGTGACTTGATTTGCAGGTGGGGTCTCTGGAACAAGCCATGTTGGATGCCTTAGTTTTGGACAGAGTGGATTTTGTGAAATTACTCATAGAGAATGGAGTAAGCATGCACCGTTTTCTCACCATCTCCAGACTAGAGGAATTGTACAATACGGTAGGGCCAAGCTAAGGCACTTGTTATTTTCTTTGTTTTTTTGCTTACCCTCTCCTGCCCCCAACATGCCTGTGATTCTCTTCCTCCCCTAAATGCATGCATCATTCTTCACAATACTCCCTTAGACCTTTGTAGACAACAAATACCAAGTCACCAAGACTCCACTTGTTTTAACTGCTCAGTTGTCAGCATCCAAGGCAGAAGGTTAGGTCATCACCTGAAGGGACTATTCTCATGCTTTTAGACAAAACAAGGCTGTGGAAATTGGAACACAGTTTATTCTGAAATCCAGAGGGCATTTGTGACAATTGGCAGAAGAGGAATGATTTAGTTCTAAGCATCAAAGGAGGCCACTTAAGTACCTGTGTCATTTTGTAAACTTCAGAGCTATGAAGTTCTTTCTTTTCCCACAACAGTGGAATTAGATGTAAAATACCTCTTGTTAGGAATTACCTCAAAAGAAGTTTTTGTTTGCTTTTTTTGTTGTTGTTTTGGTTCGGTTTGGTTTTAGAGTCAATTTCACTGTTTTATAGATAAGGAAACTGAGACTGTCTTAGTCTATTTGTGCTGCTATAACAGAATACCCAAGATTGGGCAATTTATAAAAAATAGACATTTATTTCTCACCATTCTGGAGGCTGAAATTCTAAAATTAAGGTTCTAGCAGGTTCTGTGTCCACATGAATGGACAAGGATTGAAGCAGTACACAGGAATTGCTTCAGTACTTAAATGTGTTACAACACATTTGCTTAAGGATTTGACATTACAATTTTAGATCCTACAAGAAAATTGCCACATTTAGCACATCAAAATACAGAACACCTTGTTAAATTTAAATTTCAGATAAACAATAAAGAGTGTTTTTAGTATAAGTAGAGTTGTCCCTCTGTATCTGCCTGGAATTGGTTCCAGAGTCCCCACACATCCTCCAATAGACTTTAAATTATTTCTAGATCACTTGTAGTACCTAATACAATACTAATTCTGTGTAAATAGTTATTATACTGTATTGGTTAGTGAATAATGGCAAGAAAAAAGTATTTTTATATTCAACACAGTTTTTTTCCAAATATTTTTGTTCTATAATTGGTGGAATCCATGAATGTAAAACTCACAGATATGAAGGACCATCTATATATCCCAAATATTTCATGGGACATACTTATGTTAACAACTATTCAGCATTTATCTGAAATTCAAACTTAATTAGGCATCCTATATTTTATCTAGCATTCCTGTTTCTGAGACAAGAAAATAGAAACTCACTTCACTTTATTCTTACCTCAAATATAAATACATCTTTTCACCAACTCTCTCTTTTCCCCAGCCTGTGGCTTTTCCTTTAAATCAGATTTCAGCAAACTATCACCAAAGTTCAGATCCAGCCCACAGCCTTTTTCTGTACACCCTGTAAGCTAATAATGAATATATACAATATATACATATATATATTGTAGTCGGACACAAAACCTTTGTTTTATATGTGGTGCTGAGGATCGAACCCAGGGTCACTCTCTACTGCTGAGTCACAACCCCAGCCCCTAATAATGACTTTTTATACATTTTTTTTAAATGTTGACACAGTCAGAAGAAGAATATTCTATAACATATTTAAAGTATAGGGAATTTTATTTCTGTGTCCATGAATAAAGTTTTATTGAAACACAGCTAAACTTGCTTGTTTATATAAAAACAACAGAAGGGCTAAGGATGTAGCTTAGTGGTAGAGCCCTTGCCTAGCATGTACAAGGCCTTGGGTTCCATCCCCAGTACTACCAAAAAAAAAAAAAAAGGAAGAAGAAAACAACAACAACAAAGTCTATAGCTGCTTTCACAGTATAATAATAGTTAAACTGATTTGATAAAGACTGTCTAGTCCAAAAAGCGTCAAATATGTTCTACCTGGCATTTCACAGAAAATATTTGCCAACCCCTTTTTGAGATAATTTTCTAATTCATTATTGAAAATAAAGAAGTCTCAATGACAATGTGCCCAGGTATTTTTCCAATTGGTAAATTGGCCCTTATGTTTTCCCCTGCTGCAAAACTAACTCCTTCGATAATGTCTGGGCCCAGCCATCTACAGAATTGACAATGTGCCTTAGAAACTTTGAACCTAGGACCTCCAACACCTTTTCTTGCGACAATCCAATCCAAAATTCTGCCTGTGAAAAGACAGACAAAACTGAGCAACTAAAACAAGGTCCATAGTAACAAATTGCCCTCCACCAGTCAGAACCCTTCCTTCCAGAACCTTCTTGCCTTGCCAGTTAGAGCCCCTGACTAGCAAAACTGTTTGATTCTTCTTTATTGCTTTCAGAGACATGGGCCCTCAAACACATTGTACCACTTGGTCAGGGATGTCAAAAAGGTAAGAATCCTCTCGACTCCAGGTCGGAGGCCCTGTCTTGACCGCTTCCTGTGATTAGAAAGCGACCCGTTTTGCATGAGCTGCCAGAGTGTTCCTGTGCCTGCCCGACCCCCATCCAGAACGGTGTGCGCGTGCGTCTGTCTAACTGACACCTCTGCTGATGATGCAGCTGTGGTTTAACCTCCAGTCGCCATGGTTTTAGATGCTTTACCTTGGACATAACGCTTCTGAATAGTGGAACTCTAGGCTTTCCCTGTGCCAGGTGGATTTATGCCATTCCCTGTACTTTTCCATACACCCCTCACTACCTGGGGAGAAACTGACCACAGGAGTGTCTCCATTTACTAGCTCCTGATACAGTGCCATGTCCAGCATACCAACAAGAACAGCTCCAAAGAACAGGCACCAAAACAAATATATATGTGGCATTCTTCTATCACTTCATGGTTTTCAGAATCTATTGTCACACTAATCATCTCATTTGATGGGGGATGAGGGGGTGAAGCTAGTATAAGCCAGGCCAGGTGGCACACACCTGTAATTCCAGTAACTTGGGAGCCTGATGCAGGAGGGCTCACTAGTTCAAGGCCAGCCTCAGCAACTTAGAAAGATTTTTGTCAAGTCTCAAAATAAATAAATAGGGTTGGGAATGTAAGCTGAGTGGGTAGAGCACCCCTGGATCCAATCCCCAGTATCACAAGAAAAAAGCTGGCAGATATAGGTCATGTAGAATTATTCACACATTACAGATGAGGAAACAAGGAGATGATAACTGCATTGGGTGGTCATGTCAGCATCAGGATCAGAGCCCCGATCTTTAATTAATAATGAAATAATAAGAGCTACGATGGAGTGATGATTAGGCCCAGTGTTGATGTAAGCTTTTCATGCATCTTAACACATTTAATCTGCACAACAAGTTTTATGAAGTAGAATTATTATTATTTCTTATTATCAGGTAGTATCTCCATTTAAAGATGAAAATAAGTCATAGGAAGTGTATGCTGAATCCTAGCAAAGGTCTCATTCCTTTGCCCTACAGGGTCAGCTTGGGTTCTGAACCCTTAACCCCAAAGGACAATAAAGATGATGGCACCTTACCCATCTCACATGTACACATGCACACATATGCCCACTATCACTCCTTTGTAGCAATTCTTCACCAAAGTCCACAGAACATACTTAGAGAAAGCCTCAAAATGAAGTTTGAAAATAGAGTACAGTTTTTTTTTTTTTTTCATATTATAGGAAGTCATTGGCAAGAACTGACCTGTAGGTGCTCTGAAGCAACTTTTAAATTGTTTTCTCAAAAGGTCAAGCAAAGTCCCTGGGGCTGTTTAAAATCCATCTATTTGAACCCACTAGATCTTTTATAGTAATAAGTGAAGGATATAAAAACAAAAACCTTCTTTATCTATTTATTTATTTTGGGGGGGCCCTTGCAAACTTTTCTCCCATCTCCGGGGTACCTTAATGAAGGATTTGCATATGTGTCAGTGAGCAAACCGTAGCTCTTTCAAAGCAAGCGAAGCAGATGCAAACCCATCTCTCTTTCCTTCAACACTTACAGTTTCATTTAATGGATCCAGGCTGAAAACTGCCTGGAAGCTAAATTCAGAAGTGTCCTCATTCAATTTATTCTCCCCAAGCTCTTTGATGCTCACGTTCAATAAAATGTTTTGAGGTTTTCTAAAATAATAAACAAAGCATAATCCCTTCACCTCAGACCAGTTGGTGGGGTTTTCTGAAGAGGCGGCCATGCCTCTGTCCCTGGGTCCCAGCTATTGGCCAACCCAGCCTTCAAACAAGTCGCTAATCCACTTCCACGGCCACCCTCCCAGCAGCAACGTCTTGCTGATTTTTCAATGGGATTTGTGCAGTTAGAACTCACTGACTACAGATGATCAAAATCCCTGTTATTAGCTTCTCTTCCCCATAGGACTTTGCTCTGCAAGATCATTTTCTCTTTTCTGAAATCCCTTGAGCTGCCTCTTGTATTTGCTCACATCGCCTATATTATTAGAAGCCTATAAAATATCTTGGGGGTTTTTCTTTTCTTTTTATTTCTTTTTGATTGTTTTGTTTAGCTTCTTGGCTGAAAATATGCATCAAAAATTATATATATATATATATATATATATATATATATATATATATATATATATACACTAACAAGAAAGAACAGAATGGAGCCCGGCGTGGTGGCTCCCACTCGTTATCCCAAGAGCTAGGTAAGCTAGGGCAGGAGGATCCTGAGTTCACAGCCAGCCTCAGCAACTTAGCCAGACCCTGTCTGTAAATAAAATATTAATAGAGCTGTTGATGTGGCTCAATGGTTAAGCGCTCCTGGGTTCAACCCCTGGTACTGAAAAAGAAAAGAAAGAACTGAATGATAAGAATTTAGAAGGAAAGAGTTTTAGCTAAGAGATTTTTTTTTTAAGTGTGAGCCAAGTATTGGCACAAGAAGATAGTTACATAAGCATGTCCTTTGCTTACTAATTTAGTAACTGGAAAGAAATGGCTTTAAAAAAGAAAAATCACCCAGAAAGGGGCTGAACAACTAAGAACAATGTATCCTTCCACCAGGGAAAAGGACTGCTGATGGGGGGTTGAGGGGAACAGGGCAGAGTAAGTCCTTGTTTAGTTTGTTCCCTTGGAAGAAGAGGGGGCAGGAAGCGCAGCCTCAAGTGATTTCTGTGGTCAAGGTGAGTGTCGGACTCCGGAGGGGCCAGAAGAAATAGCCATAGTAAGTAGTGGAAGGAGCCAGAAGCACCTGCGGTTGATGTTGTATGGATGAAGGGAGCTGCACTGCGGCTTTCTGTTTTGTGTTTTCAAAAAAAGTGAACAAGAGAAAATTAACATTGGTGCATAACTTTCTCACAGGGTTCCAGACTATTTCCAGCAATGTAGGCCGAAAAGATACTGAGAGCTACAAAAACTAGGCTTAAAATGCTAAGGAAGTCTTGGGAAGTTTACTCAATTTTCAAAATTGAAGAATATGATAATAAGCAGCTTGTGCACTCTTTACAATAGCAGGGGAAATATATATATATATATAGACATGTTTTCATCTATGACAAAATGAACCAGGAATTTATAAACTCCAGTACAAAATGCTGCTCATGAGTTAGAAAACACAGCTCTGGACCTTAAACATAGCATTTGATAATGTGTCTTTAAATTTAATGTAAATAATAACTATAAACCCAGGAAGTGCATTTAGGAATGATGAGACCATCGAAAGTCACCCAGTGTGACATCTCCAAATCCAACTTGTCTTTGTATTCTTTGAAACCAAAAAAAAAAAAAAACTAGATGTGCAGAATTGCTCCCAAACTGTTTTCAAGATCTCAAATTATTTATATCAAGGGAGCAATCTAGAACAATGAAAAAAGGAGTTGCTGTTCCGCATCAGAAATTTTAATTGATATAAGTCAATCCAGTTTACTCAACTGTATTCATGCATAAATCCATTAATGTACCAGCGCTCTCCTTTGAAACCAGAGTGGCCTAAGTCTGTCTGCTTTTCTGTGAAATATAACCTGCTATTTTAGTAAATGTCTGCTTAAAATTGTGCCTCTGTATGTTTTTAAATAGTAGTTTTTCTTTCTTAAACTAAGTGTGCTAATATTTCAGGTTACCTATACTGTCCCTCCCCACCAAAGGAGGGTGACATTTGACTACTATACAGAAGTAGTGGTGAAATTGTGATAAGTTCATTTACATGGGAAGTAAGACCCAGAACTTAGCAGAATGCAAAAGTGTTTCTGACACTTGGGGTGAGGAAAGGACATTTTCATAAGCCAGCCTTACATTCAGGCATATTTGCTAAAGTATTCCTATTTTTTAAAAGATTGACTATTCAGTCTATTACCTTGCTAATCTACCAAACAGTGGAATAATGTCCTCTCTTTCCCAGAGCTCAAATCAAATTACCTGGTAATTACTCAAAGGAACTCAATGTATTTTTCCTTATTATAAAAACTATCCCAGAACAGTCTTCCTCACTCACCATTGGCAAAGCGAAAAACTAGCAATCATTTTATACTTTTCACACAACAGAAGGAAACACTCTCGTTTGGAAGGCTTGTTGTGAGTTTCAAAGAAAAATGAATGTCCCTAAATAGCTGAAATCTGATAACAATATCAAGAGGTGACCTCTGAAAAAACAGTTCATTTTGAAAAGCAGGTCTAATAAGTGAACTTGAACTATTCTTTAACTAAGATATCGTTAAACATGGCATGGATTAAAATTTGCCTTCAGACTAGTCCTCCACAGTCTGAAAAAAGAAGGCAACATCTTTAAGTTACCAGACTGTATCTTCCCACATGCCCAGACGCTCCAGCAAGCCGCATGACCTACAATGTGATGTTAAGGCAGGAAATGGAAAATCATTGTCCAGACTCTGCCAATGACCAGTCATGATCAAAAGGGTAGGGAGATCTGGGGACAGGCTCTATTGTGGAGCACTTACCTAGCATGTGCAAATACCTGGATTCAATCCTCAGCTCCATGAAAAAAAATTTTTAAATAAGATATAATCAAAAGGGTGGGGGAGGGTAACAGAAACAGCAGGCAGAATTTGTATTATTGCAGTATGAAGGAAGCTAAGAAAATTTCAATTTGAAAATTTGGAATTTGCCCTGAGCAAAGGAAGACTCCTCCACAAGGTTTTGGGACATTATCTGTTGACATGTGAGGGGTTGTTCACCTCCTCTGCTTTTTCCAAAGGAGATGGATACGATGAATACAGCCCATCCCTGTCTAAGCCTTTACATTCCTGATTCTGAGCCCCCCAGTTCCACTAACTGAATTCCAAGGGACAACTGGAAGCTACATGAACCCTGAAAGCTCTGAACAGGTGTCTTTGCCCAATGGCCTGGCAGTATAGAAATAAGAGCAGCTGCCAGATACTGATCCTAAAACTGGACTTTCAGACATAGGCATGGCCTTAGAAATAACTCTGTCCAAATCACCTATTTTCAGAGCATAAACTGAAGTACAGAAAAAGAAAGCGATCTGTCCAGAAGCACAAGAGGACAGAGCCAAGACTACAGCCCAGCCAAGTACTGTTTGCGCTCGGTAGCTATGTCTCTGGCCTCTGGCTGTCCTCTGCTAGAGGACCAGAAAGTCCCCCACTTCCCAGCAGGGCTGTCCTAGGAGAAGCAATGCAAATGCATCATGTGAAACATCTACAGGTCACAGGTGATCCAGGCCACCAGCCCAGCACCTCATCATGCCATCCCCTTTAGAGTCCACCCAGGACACAGTAATTCCCACGACATCTAAATTGTACCCAATTTTATTCATTTTGTCAAATTTGTTTCTTCTTCCCAAAAGGGTTTCCACTCTTCTAATAAGAAATAGAAAGCTGATTTCCCTCAACTTCTCTGTTTCCACCAGTCATCAGCCTTGCAGGCAGAGTTCAAACCCAAGCCTCGCTAAACTAACCTTTCCCTCCTCCGGATATCACTTCAACAAGAACATCTGACCCTGTCCTTCTCCTCTAATCCTGTGCACACTCTGGACTCCTTCATGTCACCTTACCACACAGAACAGAGTAGGCAGGTAATTTAATTATTGGTGAGCCTGGAGTCCTTGTAGGCTTCTGGTAGGTGAACATCGCCCCCTTGTGACCAAACAAAATGCAAGCCAGTTCCTGTCACCTTCACTCAGAGCCACACCCAAATAATCAGAGTCCTTTCTCCTGCTTCAGATCTGACTACACAGAAATCATGCTACAACAATCAACTTTTTGTGAGAATATCTTAGCACTTTCCTTGGCAGTATATGCCACTAAGAGCTCTATTAATAAAAATCATTCCATAAAAGTATTGTATTTTCCCTTAATTTTTTTTATTTACTTTGGATTTTACTACTATTAAGACTTTACTAACAATTTCTAGTAGTAAAGACACTTAAAATGCATAAATATTACCATGCAGTTTTTGGTCTTCAGGCAATATTGGAGTCTCAGACTTAGAATTCAAGTTCATGCTCACACGTACGTAGGTTTCCCAAAACAAAACACCTAGGTGTCAGGCTCACTATTACCCAGCTTTTTAATTTAGAAATTCTTATAACATGAAAAGTAGGAGAGCTGGGGATGTAGCTCAATGGTAGAGCATATGACTTATATGTGCAAGGCCCTGGGTTTAATCTCCAGCACCACAAATATAGAAAGAAAGAAAAGTAGGCACAAGTTCATAGACTTGTCCTGATTGCTTTTCAATAGCATCACAATAAATTCTTTGGGGGACTTTCCCAAAATCTGGAACATAAGCAAAGCAACATGGTGTTCAGCCCCTGTTACTGGGAAGAGACCCTGAGGGAAAGTTGCTGGTTCATGACAGCTGACTGAAAGCCAGTGTGCTTTATCCCACTGCCTCCCAATGCCAAGGAAAATAACAGATGGTGGGCATCCTTGGAAGGTCATCTTATCAGAGCCAAATGTGCATGCAAATAGACTGACCCAGGCATGGCCTGGCTCCTGGACTCTTCTACTCTTTAAATAACAGCTTTGCCTCATGTCCAGTAGAGCTGGAGGCTACAGAAACTGTGGCCTCATTATATTTTAAAACTCAAATTTTTATGGCAAGGGCAATACATAAAGAGTTACTATCTTAAAACTTTCTGTGTTCCCTTTTGAATATTTTTTTTTGCTATACTTTGCATAACAAAATCAGACAATTGGGTTTTGTTAGTAGCCTGAGGACAGCCTAACTAGTTAGATTGATTAAATCATCTTCAAAGGGGAACGAATTTCTGAGGAGTGTGGGGAGGACAACAGAGATCATTTTTGTGAAGGAACCATTCAAATAATACAATGGGTCTCACACTGGACCTCACTGGGCCAAGGTCAAGGGTAGGAGACATCTCCTGCCTCAGGGTGCTTCCACTTTATACACAGTGCCCTTAACAATCCTGCCTGTGTGCCTTGCATTAAATCCTCAAGCCCAGGAAGAGGCAGAACCCAGTGGATGGAGGTGGGAGCTAAATCTGGGGACAGCAAGGAAGTCTAAAGAGCCCCAGTGGGATCACACACCTGAGGCTGGTGCTCCCAGGGCTTTCCCTTCATTCCTACCACACTGAGAATTGCTATTGAATTTATGTATAGTGATATACATGTATTTCAAGTCAAATTTCCCTACAAAAGAGGGCTATCCCAACCAGCAGAGACTAACAGACTGCGACCAGATAGTGTATGACACTATAATACCAAAAGCCCAAACCCAACCTCGATCCCAACCACATCAATTAATTTCACTATTTTATTAATTTATAAAAAAAAACTTCTAAGTGCCTACCATATCACAAAGACTAAAAAAAGCACTGGAAATATGTAGATTAAAAGAAATTCAGAGGGAAGAAGGGGGCACTGCAATATAAAGATTTTAACATTTAAGAAATATCTAAAGCTCAAGCTTTTAAGAGTAGGTCCAGTGGGTCACCTCTAATTCTGAATCCCAAAACCTTGGAAGGGATGTGGATGGCCAAAGGAAAGCTGAGCAAGGGTAACTGAAACCTGTATTCAGCTCAGCAAAAAAATTAGGTGAATTTCCCACTGACAGTGTTCCCCATGTTGTACTTGAATGTCCCTGTTCTGCCATGCAGGCTTCTATTGCCTCCCTGAAACTCAGTTAGTAGAGAAGTGGCTTCACAAACTTTGGTGTGCATCAGAATCACCCAGAGGAGCTAATGAGGTACACAGGGACCCAGTACTTGGATGAAGTAATAGGAGAAGACCCCAAGACTTTGTACTGTCACCACTCCCCAGGTGATTCTGATACCACTAAAGTTGGAAAATCCAGTGTAGATTAGGAGGTTCTTCTCAAAGTGACAGAAAACTCATGTGACATCCTGGGTGGGTCATCCATTAAAGAAAAAGTGCACCCAAAGATTCCTGCCTCTGAAATCTAAGGACTTGCACACCAGCCTTCCCCCAATGGTACTGTCCCCACCACTCCTGGTACCCAATGCCCTCCTGCATGAAGGACACAGCTATTCAGGCTAATTAGTGGTGCCCCTGGAATTCACAGTGCACAGAACTACCTCTTCTTTCACTTAACAGAACAAGGATTTTCCTTAGACCCTAGAAACCCCCTTTGGAAGTAGAAAGCAACAATGAGTAGAAAACAAAAGCTTTTCTGTTTTGCATCTATTTTTGGCTCACATCTAAGAGACATACCAGGTGTGAAGGCCTGGGTTCAATCTCTAGCATCTCAAAAATAAATAAATAAATAAAATAAAAGATACACCATAACTCCAGGTCCTTGAGAAATGCTATTCTCTTTGAAGGAAAAGGTGGAAAATCTCCTTGATTCTGGGAAAATATTCCATTGATAAAATTTCTTCTTCTATTCCTCCCCACTTCTCTTTAAATACAAGGGTTCCTCATATACAATTCGATCCTGACATTCCAATTCCCCTCCCTACACATTGTTCTTTTATGAAAAATTGCCCATTAAAAAAAATGGTTAATAGAGGTTTTAAAGGATACCTGGGCTCTAAGCAGGCCCTACCCAATGCAGGCCCTGGTAATGACCCTCACCCTCTGGGCGGAGTCTTCCTTTAGTGAGTGGGAAGAAGATAAATCATCTGCTAGAGGGTGGTGACAGGCCTGGGTCAGAAACAGAGAGGGGGCTGGGGAACGTGGGGGACCCTACTCCTGGTGGCTGGGAATGACAGCATTTGCCATGTCTAGCCTTGTGTTTCTTTCTGCTACACTGGTGTTTTTTTCTCCCCAGCTGAAGACTTGAATAAATATTTTGATTTTCTGTTATTGCCGACGATTACTGCATCTTCTTATTTAACTTATGTCTTCTTTCCAAGCGAGAATATCCAGGTTTCGGTTGGATCTATTTTAAGGTGAATTAATTAACCAGCATAATAATACATTCATATGTTTCTTTTTTCATTATATTTTACTCTAAAATAGTTACCGAACACGTGCAATAGAATCCCTAGTAAACCACGCTGTCTTTTGGATTTGTTTGTTTCTTTCTTTCTTGTCTGACAGGGGAACCTGCCCCCAGACTACAGGATCAGCCTGATTGACATCGGCCTGGTGATCGAGTACCTGATGGGCGGAGCTTACCGCTGCAACTACACGCGCAAGCGCTTCAGGACCCTCTACCACAACCTCTTCGGCCCCAAGAGGGTGAGTTCCAGCCAAACCTAGGTGGTGCAGTAGTAGGTTGGGAGAGATCCGGGGTGTGGCTTCTTGATCTCCGTAGGGGAGGCTGTTGAGAAGGTGCTAACTGCTCCTCCTCTTCTTCTCTCTTCCATCCAAACTGTTAAAAAAAAAATTAATTTGGCAATAAATACTATCAGTTGTTTTTCTTGAAGTGACAACCTCACTTGGGTCATTCCAAAAATGCCTGCCCAATGTCCAGTCTGTCTGCCCCAGTCTTGTCTGCCAGTCTTCCCTTCAAGTAAAAGCGATATTCTATGTAAACAAAGGGGCTGTGACTTAATCCAAAGAATGCCAAAGTGTTTTTCCTCAGAACAGCCTTCTAGATCATAGGTAGCACAAATGTTTCTGGGTCAGGCTTCCCGATTTATCCCAGGGGATGGTAATAACACACACAATCAGAGATTTAACAAACATGGTAATTATTGAAGGCTTCAAGAGCATGTTTAAGGGAAATTGTTTGGGATTTTGTTTACTTGTTTTTGTTTTCTCCAAGTGCCTATCAGCGTAATCCAATGACCATAGTGAAGTTTGGTATCACTACCTTTATTTTTATTTATTTATTTTTATTTTGGATTGGGGTTTGGACCTGGGTTGCTCTACCTCTAGCTACATCTTCAGAGGGGTTTATGTATTGAGACAGTCACTAAATTGATAAGGCTGGCCTCAAACTTGCAATCTTCCTGCTTTAGCCTCTGGGATTACAGGCCTTTGCTCCTACCGGCTTCACAGTTTTTACTCTTGCTAAGGCACCAAGCAGTTTTACTCCCGACAGCTTTGTGCCATCTACACTTGATCTTAGCCAAAAGGCGGAGAAGCGATGCTTTGTGCCATCTAAGCTAGTGTAAACACAATATCCAAACTCAGTATTATTATGAACATAGATTGGAATTCTCGCACCCTCTGAAAGGGTCTTGGGGCCCCTCGTGACCCATGGATGACATTTTGAAAGCTGCTGCCCTAGCTGGTAGTGGACATCATTTTTCTCTTTCTTTTGTTTTCCTCTATTTTTAATTTTTTAAATTTTTTTCATTTTATTTTTGTATTTTTTTAAATTTTATTGTTTCTTACTTTTAACAAAGCTTTATTCTGACTACAAAAGTATTTTGCAGGACTACTGGGGAACTTTGAAGACACCAAAAAGCATAAACAAGAAAAAATAATAGCACAGATTGTAAACTGGTGGTCATCTCAGAAGCTGAGAGAGAGAGAGAGAGAAAGAGAGAGAAGGTTCCAGCTATTCCCACTTGAATAGTCACATAAAATTTGAAGGACCTGTGAGGGCTGGGACCTTCCAATTTACTCAGATAATTTCCAAGATGGCACCCAACCATTCTGTACTACTTAGAACCACAGAATTTGTGATTCTGCCCCCGAAGGTATTTTGGTATCTCCCTTTGTTAAATATAAATCAGAGATTTGCCAAGTGGCCTTCTCTGCTGGCTGCAGTCTGTGCCTATTGTGCACATTTCCAGATGCTGACACTATCTGTGCCTTGAGGGCCTCCTGCCACCCTCCATACATGCCCTCTCACCCTCTCTACAGTGCAGCAGCACAGGGAGATGGCCAGCAGGAAGCACCAAAACATGTATTTATGAATGATATCTGATTCCTCTCCAACTAATAGAGGTATTTCAGAGGTTGGAGATGTGTGGGATTTTATCTGTTTGGTTGTTTCATTGCTCATCTTAGTTCAAGCTACTGTAATAAAATACCACAAACTAGGTGGCTTATGAACGTAAATCTACCACTCACAGTTCTGGAAGCCAGACAAATTCAAGATCAAGGCACCAACAAATTCAGTGTCTAGTGAGGGCTTGCTTTCTGGTTCACAGATGGCACCTTATTGTGTGTCCTCACATGATGGAAGGGCGAATGAGTTCCCCTGGGCCTCTTTTATAAGGACACCAACCTTATTCAGGAGGGCCCTTCTCTCTTGACCTTCCCAAAATCTCTACTCCAATGCCATCACCCTGGGGTTAGAATTTCAACATATAAATTTGGGGAGGAAAAAAAACATTCAGACTCTAACACTCATACAAGTACTGGAAATCATGACATTCTGCCCAAGAAGGATGGTTATAGGAAAGTGAAAGAAATCTTGGTTCACAAAAGATATTATAAACCTTTAGACTTTATCTGTGGACGATCACATCTCTTCAGTTTCCTAATTTTCTGTGAGTCACCAAAATCATTAAATCTCTAATTCTTTTATAAATTCTATAAATTTAGTTCCCTTTGTGTTCTTTTATTCAGAGAAATAAAATAAATGCTATATGGTGCACTAGAGTTATTGATTACTTGTTTATGATATAATAGGATTCTTTTCTTACTTCTGTAAAAGAAAGACCTAATTTTGTTGACATTTCTTTTTAACAGCCCAAAGCCTTGAAACTTCTGGGAATGGAGGTAAATATTTTTCAAATTATTAGTGTCAGTTATTCTCTTTATTACATATTTTTTAAAAAATACAGTGCTAGCACTTAACATATCTTTCTAAAATAAGGAAATGAAGTTTCTAAGTGTCATGGGGGCAGTTCCCAGTGGCTTTGAAAATTCAGCCATGAGGTTATGTTAGCATTGCAAACAAAAATAAAGAAATAAGTCCTATTTGAAATACTAACTTGAAAACCAAGGAAGCATACAAATTCCCATAAGCAAAATCCGTTCATGGGTGTTTGCAAATGACAACAGATCCAACAGCCTGAACTACTTCACAGATACATCTGTAGAGAGGCAGAAATGAGAGACATGCTATGTTTCCCATCTTTTGTTAAAATGGTTATTTTCATTTCTGCAAAACACAAGTATAGGATATCCTTGTCCTTTCGACAAAAAAGGGGAGTGCTGTCTATCATGAGATACAAAACTTACTAATAGTAGAAAAAGTGGACAAAAGTAAATAGAATAAGAAAAATGCCTATTAAAATTAATTCTTTAAAGTATAAAATTGACATATTCCCATGAGACTATGCTTATTATACAATAAGTAGAACTTAGTTTAAAATTAATCATAAATGAGATTGTGAGTTCTTTTAGGATGAAACCTGGCCTACTGCATTTCAGTATTGATCTCAGAGCTGAGCTAGTGGAAGATATACAATAACTATTCAGTGAATTGAACTGATTCATTTTTAACTCAGCCTCTCTGTTTTTATCTAAAATTACAGGATGATATTCCCCTGAGGCGAGGAAGAAAGACCACCAAGAAACGTGAGGAAGAGGTGGACATCGACTTGGATGACCCTGAGATCAACCACTTCCCTTTCCCTTTCCATGAGCTGATGGTGTGGGCTGTCCTCATGAAGAGGCAGAAGATGGCCCTGTTCTTCTGGCAGCATGGAGAGGAGGCCATGGCCAAGGCCCTGGTGGCCTGTAAACTCTGCAAAGCCATGGCTCACGAGGCCTCCGAAAATGACATGGTTGATGACATTTCCCAGGAGCTGAACCACAACTCCAGGTTGGCCAACCCAGCAAACAGGGAGTTCAGGGGAAACATGGGAAGGTTGTCTCCAAAGACTCCAAGGTCTGAGCAACACATAACATTAAAGGGAGGCAGTATCACCCCAGTGGTGCACACAGAGAGTACACACAGAGGGTACACAGTAATACACATACCAATGCACAGATTTCATGTCATCCTCTCAGCTTTCCCAAGAGGTAGGTCCTATTGTTATGCACTTTGTTGAGCTGAGGACAGTGAGATTCAGAATTTAGGTAACTTATCCAAGATCACTTGGATAAGTTATGGTTGGCAAGGCTGGGATTTGAACTTGAGATCGGCCACATTGAAGAAGACACATTGCACTCTGATTGTTTGGACAGCCTCCCCCATAAATATGCCTTGGATTTGGGGCTCGAGTGTGGGGATCATGTCTTGTTGGACTTACATCCTCAGCTCTAGACATGGTGCTGGATGCTTAATGGATGTTGTCTGGATGAATTTATGAACAGACGAGACCTCACATGGAGCCATTGCTCCACACAGCAGCCACATTTTGTGGCTGGCCAGTGGATCTGTTTTAGTTAGCTTTTTCATTGCTGTGACCAAAAGAACTGGCAAGAACAATGTAGAGGAAGAGAAGTTGATTTTGGCTCAGGGTTTCAGAAGGTCAGTCCATGGTCAGCCAACTCCATCACTGCGCACCTGAGGACAAGCAGAACATCATGGTAGAAGGAGTGATAGAGGAAAGCAACTCAGGATATGGCAATCAGGAACCAGAGAGAGATCTTTACTCACCAAGGAACAAAATGTAAACCTCAACGGCATGTCTTATGTACTACTTCCTCCAGCCACCCATTACTTGTTTATAGTTACCACCCGGTGAATCCATATCAGTGGATTAATTCACCAATCAGGTTACAGCTCTCATAAGCTAATCATTTCACCTCTGAAAATTCTTGCACTGTCTCACACATAAGCTTTGGGCAGACACCTCACACCTAAACCATAACAGGTCCATCCCCACTTTTGTCATGTGAGTCTCCAAGCTGGCCTGAGGCTCCTTTGTACCTTCTCTCTTTCAGGGACTTTGGCCAGCTGGCTGTGGAGCTCTTGGACCAATCCTACAAGCAGGATGAGCAACTGGCCATGAAACTGTTGACCTACGAATTGAAGAACTGGAGCAATGCCACATGCCTGCAGCTGGCTGTGGCTGCCAAGCACCGTGACTTCATTGCACACACGTGCAGCCAGATGCTGCTCACTGACATGTGGATGGGTCGGCTCCGCATGCGCAAGAACTCAGGCCTCAAGGTCAGTGCGCCCAAGGAGGCCCTGTGGGCTATGAGGGCCCGAGGGTTGGTTGTGGTTTTCCAAGCCAAATCTGTGGTGGGATTAGGATTCCTTTATCTCAAGAGGCTGCTACTAAAACCCAGCTGTTCACCAGAATCTCCTATGGAGTGTTTTGAATTTCATATAGAGGCAAGGGCCTCTCCTAGTCCTTCTGAATCAGCATCTCTTGAGATAGCGCCTAGACATTGATGTTTTTCAGAAGATCCAAAGGCAGTGGTTCCACAGGTTCCACAGGGGACACATTTGCTCTGACACAAGCCGGGCTATACCAGGAGTCCTCACCTAGGTAACCCTTCTCCACGGTTGGAGCCTGACCTCTCCCTTTCCCCCATATGTCCTTTACATCATGTAGTAGAGACATTGAATCTTACCAAATGTGCTTGAGGACTTTTGTGTATGTGTGTGTATGTGGTATTATTGGGGATTGAATTCGGGGGAGTTTTACCACTGAACTACATCCCCATCCTTTTTTTAAATTTTGAAGCAAGGTCTCACTAGGTTGCCTATGCTGATCTCAAACTTAAGATCCTCCTGCCTCAGCCTCCTAACTGGCTGGAATTACAGGTGTGCACCACCATCTCCTAAGAGAAATTTTTTAAACTGAAATAAATATGTGGCAGATTTATATATCAAGGCATTGCTACATGATTCTGAGCTGTTGTTTTCTTTTTTTGGTGTTGGGGATTGAAGTCAGAGCCTTACACACATACTGTGCCACTCTGCTACATTCTCAACCCCCTAATCTATTATTAAATGAAGAAAAACAATTTACAGACCATTCTGCATAACCTGAGTCCCTTTTACAAAATGTATATGTGCAGAGTTATAGCAATATAAATTCATTAAAAAAAAAAACCAAGAACACAGAATAAACTATATGCAGTGGTTACTTCTGAGGTTGAATGGACCTTATTAGAATTTTTGTTGTTGTTGTTTTAATGAGAAGTAGGATGGTAAGAAGGACTTGATTTTTTAATTTTCAATGTTTTTCAAAGAAAACATTAAACTGAAAAAGAAAAAAAAAACGGGAGGTGGAAGATCAAAAGAAAATGTAGTTTTGTTGTTTGCTTTTGGTTTTTGTTTTAATTCATTATAATGACAGTTTCTTTTTATTTATTTATTCAAAGTATATAACACGATGTTTTGATATACATAGTGAAATAGTTCTTGTAGTTAAGCAAATTAACAAATCCATCATCTAGTATAGTTAGCCTCTTTTTTTAATGTGATCAGAACTCCTAAATCTTCTTTCTTAGTAAATTTTCGGTATACAATGTGATATTAAAACTGTGGTCCTCATTAGATCCTGGGATTTACTCATCCTGCACACCTGTGACTTTGTGTCCTTTGCCCACCATTTACTAAGCCAGCAGTCCCTGTCCCATTCCTCCCTTCCCGTGGGCTCTTGACCCAGAGTCACAGAAGGTTCCATGAAGCAGAACATGAACATTTCCCTAGCTGCATTATTAGTGACTGCTGAGCCTGACCTCAGGGGGCAGCTGAGTCAGTTCTTAGCTCCAAGGACAATGTGTCATGTCCCCTGAAGGCTAAGAACAGCAGCATGCCACCTGAGACCAGACCTGCCAGGCACCCAGAATCCAGGGTCCTCACCTTTCCTTCCTGCTCCCTGACTGCTCTCCAGTCCCCGTGGCCATTCAGTCCTGGTCTGTCCCTGTCTTGTGCCTTGAGCTTCATTTTTCCCGACCCTTTGTTTCTTCAAAAATTAGACTGAGATACTATGCAGAATATTTCTCCAATGGGACAAAGTGACCTTCTTCACATCAATGTGCTTCAGATATTCAGGTGTTCAGGTCCACACACAGGGCACACAACACCTGTGCAAAGTGCACATGCACATGTACCCAAACACAGACACTTAAACGCCACACCCCAGGCCCTCTGATTCTAAGCAACCACCTAATCTTAATCCTTTAAATGTGATTATTATTATTATCATTATTATTACTTTAGGTAATTCTGGGAATTCTACTTCCTCCTTCAATTCTCAGCTTGGAGTTCAAGAACAAAGATGACATGCCCTATATGACTCAGGCACAAGAAATCCATCTCCAAGAGAAGGAGCCAGAAGAACCAGAGAAACCCACAAAGGAAAAAGATGAAGAGGACATGGAACTGACTGTAAGGAAAAATAAATAAATAAAATATATTTTATTTTATAACAACATATATTTATAACAGTTATTTATATGTGTGTTATTTTCCCTGAGGAGAATCCCAAATGCACTGATAAGGTTCAATAGTTCTTAAGGTCAGATAGATGTCCCCATCCTCAAGTTAGTCATGGGTGCTGCCATTTAAGAATTGAGACCAGAGTATTATAAAAATGCCTCTTTATGCACAAATAACATGACTGTTATTTGTGCATAAAGAATTCAGAGCAAGGCACCCTCAATTTCCCAGGCCAGCAAAGGTTTATAAACAAGGAGATGATGTAGCAGTCTTAGCACGCAAAACAAGAAAGGAGAACCATGATTTGGGAGCAGCCAGCTTCACAGAGCTGGAACCATTCTGCTGATCAGAAGCTGAGCCCTTAATCTATCTTCAGGGTCAGGCTCACAAATACAGCACTAATTGAATTTTGAGGTTTGTATGGAAAGCTTTTATTAGCTCTCCCCAGTGTAATTATAGAACATGGGTGCTTTGTTCTGCAGAGGGAACCAATGGGCAGCTGCGCATGAGATGGCTTCCCACAGCCCCCGCCTGAGCAGCGTGACTGTTACTGGCTCCTTGCCAAAGACTAAAAATATCCCATGCTATTAAAGGGACACATAAGGCTTCATAGCTCAGGAAACATCAAGCAACCACTCCCTAAGGACTTTCTTGATATGCCTCACCCCCCTCACCACTCCAGCCAGCGATGGCTGCCATAATCACCCAGAAGGAACTGTGAGAGGAGAAAACGAAAATTGGTTTTGCTCAGGTGACAAAAGGCCTATGCATTATCATCCTGGTGGGGCCACTGAGGATTGTTCTTCCTCCAGACAAAGAACATTTCCTTCAGTGGGCCCCTTCTCAACCTCTGTTTGCAGACATGATCTCTAACTCAAACACCAACTTTTGTTTCAGTTTCAGGATTTTTAGAAAAATCCACGTAGGTCTCTGCTCACCTCTATAGGAATACAGATGGTCTTCCCTGAAATTATCTTACCATAATTTTGGCTTCTAAACCCCGCGATGGATAGGAAATAATATTTTAATCATTAGATTTGACATGGGTAGGGATAATGCTGAATCTTGGGCAGCTCAGCAGAGGAGTAAAGAGTGTATTCTCTAGAGTCAGAATCCTCCCCATCACCTCTTGCTGTATGATTTTGAGCACTTTCATCATTTTTTATTGTGGGCATAATAACTTTATGTGTCTCACAGGAAGCTGTGTAGTTTAAAACATATTCATGTAAAATGCTTAGACTGGCAGCTGACACACCACAAAGGTTGGTAAATGCTCACAAATGCACACTAAGCATTCTTTGTACACTTCTTCATGGAATCCTCACACTGGATCCACAAATAAGCACTGTTTTTATTAACCCCATTTTACAGATGAGGAAGATGGGACTCAGGGAGATCAAACTGCCCAAGTTTACCCAGTTGCAAATCTGGGGTTAGAACCCAGGCAAACAGACTCCACTGGTCCCTTTTTTGATTCAGGGAAGGAGAGAATTTCTTCCTCCTTTCAGCTACTTTGGGTGAACACATAGTAGAGAGAATTCAAAAGCAACATGCAGGCCTCCTAAGTCAAGTGTGAGGTGACCTTGATGTAGACACACATCCTAGGAAGTCAGCCAGGAGCTGACTCAGCCTTCTGCCTGATTGGATCTCCAGGAAGAAAGCAAAGGGAGGAGCTTCCCCTGCTCAGGCTAGAGCTTTGAGGATCTGATCCTGCAGGAAGCCACAATAAAGGATGTATCTCTAGACTGAGAACAAAGTCATCTGGCCAGAGGACAGCCTCCCGTACTGTGTACTGAGAACCTGCATAGGAGACACAGGGTGGCCTTGCTGCCTGGGCTTGTTCTCCCCAGGGAGAAGGAAAGGAAGTAGGGATGGACTTGAGGACAGCAAGCTCAGACCCTGATGGCAAACTCTGTCCCTGCTGGGGCTCCCATCAGCAGGCTCACCCCAGGCAGGATTGAGGGTGCAGCTTGATGATATCTCCCCTTCTTTCATAGGATTGACATTTGAGCTTCTGTGTTAAACTAACATATCTCCTCTTATAATGGGACATCCTTTGTCCTGCCAAAACTATAACCCAAAATATTCGCCTTGGTTCATTCCATTTCAGAATGTTTAGTAGTTCAGGATCATTAGTTCATGTCAAAGGATCTTTTTCTACATTAACACCTGTGCTTAGGCAGCAGAGATTTAAAATCCACAATGTACAGTGTATTTGAATTTGACCCTTAAATTCTGCTTTAGGAGATGTCAAAGGAAACATTTTGACAATAGGGAAAAGAAAAATAAACCAAATCCGGCAAGTGAAGCTGCTGAGGCCGGAATTGATGGAAGGGCAAAAATGCTCTAAAAAGAGCAGGCTTTTTAAAATTGGCATTTGAATCATAAAGGCAAAACTGGTTACTTTGTTTTCTCTCCTTCCCTGAATCAATGGCCTTGTAAGTGTCTCCACCTTGCACTTTGCCTGATAAAGTACCTACATGTCCACAGCCCCAGAGATGGCTACCTTGGGAAATCCAGTGTCCCTGGAGATAAGCCCCAGCTGCCTCTCTCCAAGATGCCTAAAGATCTCCAATCTACCTTTACTTCTATCTCATTATGTCTCCAGAAGGCATTGCATTGTCTAACATAGACATAAGCAGAACTGAAGCAGGATAATTATGTTACATAAATTATAAATTATAGAAGGACAAATACCACGTACCTTCAGAGTTTCTTGAGATCAGTGATCAATACTTAGAGAATTCTATGGGGGGTCTAGTGTTATCCATCATGAAGACTGACTCAGCTCACTGACATTAAACACCTAGACAGACCGTGGAGGAAAATTTGATCTTTTAATTAACTCAAGGTCCTTTTCTAGCCAGTGTCTACAAAGAGATGGAAGTTACCTTCCCAGAAATTCAATTGATTAGAGAGAAATCATTTGTGATCATCACATATTTGAGCAAAGTGGTTATTTGAGACAGTGACTGAAGTAGTTGAAACTAATATTTGCATATTTTAGGTTCGTTTGTTATTTGAAAACAGAATTATGTAGTAGTTACTTCTAGTCTCAAGTTCGAGACAAACTTAAATTATTGCTGTAATTAGATTGCTCAACTTGAAATTCTTATGCCCAGTACTCTGTCTTGTCCCAAATCCTTTTAGTTCCTCATCAGTCATAATATCTTACCCCATTTTTACATTTAATAAAAAAAAATCTCATTTCCCAACAGCATGAAACTAACCTTATCTTAGAACAATATTGAAGAAGTAAAGTCAGAAAACTGTACTGCTATACATTCTAATAACATACTTTTTTGTGTGCAAAATCCCAACTAGATAATTTCAGTGAAGAGTAGCCAAGGTCTCATGTTACTTAACTAGCTAAGTTACTGAGCATCTATTATGTGCCAGGTGCTAACTTATTGGTAGACCAACCCTATATCAGGGGCTCTTATTACCCCTGTTTTACATTTAAAAAAAAAATTAAGTCTTGGGGCTGGGAATGTAGCTTAGTGGTAGAGCACTTGCCTGGCATGCTTGAGGCCTTGGGTTCAAATCCCAGCACTGCAATAAAATAAAATAATAACAATAAATACATAAATAAATGAGAAACTGAATCTCAGATTAAAAATACAATATTCTTTTTTTTTTACATAATGAAAGTTTTTAGTTGTTAAAGGCATATCTCACAGAGCAATTAAAACAACTTTGGTTCATAAATTAAATATATTACACTTGAAATAAGCTTCAAAATCTACCTATAATCCTCACAAGTGAAGCTTCATGAGCCAAAAATAGTGATTTTGGTTCTGTAAGAAAAGTGTATTGACTTTAATATAATACACAGCTTTGTCTATCATGTTAAAGAATTTCAGTGTCTTAGTTGTGGAAAGATTTGTCCAACTCATACTTGTTTTATACATAGTGAGAAACAGTGGTATTCTGATAAAATTAACAGCATTATTCTGAAAGACTGGAAACTGATTTATCACTTACAATTTGGAATGAGAAACTGTCTACATCAATCTTTCTTTTTTTATAATTTTTATTGTTGGTTGTTCAAAACATTACATAGTTCTTGATATATCATATTTCACATTTTGATTCAAGTGGGTTATGAACTCCCATTTTACCCCGTATACAGATTGCAGAATCACATTGGTTACACATCCACTGATTTACATATTGCCATACTAGTGTCTGTTGTATTCTGCTGCCTTTCCTATCCTCTACTATCCCCCCTCCCCTCTTCTCTCTCTACCCCATCTACTGTAATTCATTTCTCCCCCTTGTTTTTTTTCCCTTTCCCCTAACTTCCTCTTGTATGTAATTTTGTATAACCCTGAGGGTCTCCTTCCATTTCCATGCAATTTCCCTTCTCTCTCTCTTTCCCTCCCACCTCTCATCCCTGTTTAATGTTAATCTTCTTCTCATGCTCTTCCTCCCTACTCTGTTCTTAGTTACTCTCCTTATATCAAAGAAGACATTAAAAAATACAATATTCTTGATGCTGTTGCTGTTGTCATGAATGAGAAGGGAATCATGGATTCTTTGGGAAGATCTCCAACAGCTTGGAGATGAAGACTTCTGCAAGCCGAGGCTGACTAGGGTCCTCCTATTGTTGCCTGGCTGCAAAGAAAGTCAGCATGCCCAGGACTTGTCATACCACTAATGCCAACTGTAGCTCAGATTTTACCAGGACTGAATCAGAGAACCAAGGCACATGCCTACCGTTTGAGCAGATGGCCCTAACAACTTCAGGTGCTTCAGATAACTCACCTCTTGAGGGCTCATGATCTTTGGGTCAAGTAGGGACTCTGGTTCAATTTACCTTTGACTTAAAAGTCATCAGTGTAGGTGGAGAGAGAATCTGAACCCAGAGGTAGCCTGTCTCACAATACATAAGGACAGGGTGGGGGCACAGATTCCTCCAATGTGGCTGCCCCGCTACACTCTTCTTCCCTCTTGGAACGCTGTGTGTTTTCCATTGTCTGCCTCTTCCAGAAGGTTCAGGATAGAATAAAATGGTCAAGAGTTTTCCCCAAGACCTTCCATCCCAAACAAAGGAAATGTATAGATTGTACAAGAGTGCAATCACATACCTAGGGAAGGCATGAACTTTAAATTGCTGGGGGGGGGGCGGGCAGGAGCTCAGGTTCTTCTGTTTAATGAGCTCTGAAGTATAAAATAAGCGAGTCAGAGTATATGCTCTGCAGAGCCCTGCCATGATGAGTTCCATTCTCTCCCTCTGTAGGCAATGTTGGGACGAAACAATGGGGAGTCATCCAGGAAGAAGGATGAAGAGGAAGTTCAGAGCAGGCACCGGTTAATCCCTCTGGGCAGAAAAATCTATGAATTCTACAATGCACCCATTGTGAAGTTCTGGTTCTACACTGTAAGTATCTTTCCTTTCCTAGTGGATGGCCACAGGAGCCAACATTCACGTCTCAGGCACCGGGGTGGTTTTCTCTGTGAGTCATACGTAGCACACATTGCAGGAAAGGAAGCTGTATGACCTTGCTTTTCCAATAGTTTTGCAAGATCTGTGGAGTTTGTTGGGCAGGTTCCACAGGCTAAATGTCTTCTCTTCAAAAAACTTAAGGAAATGATAAAAGTGAGAACCAATAGAAATAGATGTGAGGTGAGTATGAATTCAATCTAGTAGGAAGTAGATGTCCACTTTCAAAACACTTTCCTGTTCTGGATGGATGAAGACTAAGTCAGAGTTGCCTCCTTTAGGTGCCAATCCTGGGTTTTTGTGGTTGGTTTGTTTGTTTCTTTGAGGGTGGGGGTTTACATTTAGTAAATAAGACTCAAGCACAGTGTGGAAGTGGTGTGACTAGGCATGGGTAGCATATGCACATAGCTACTCCCAATCTAGTATTGCCAGCAAACAAATTTTATTGGTTAGACCCAATAAACAACAAACAAGCAAAAGAGGCAGAAACTACCAGAACAACCAATAGTCATGGCAAAGATTATTCAGTATGTACACCCCACAAACCATGCCTACAAAACCTTGGGTTCCTGAAGAGGCCTCCTGAGAGGGTAGAAAGGAATGAACTGCTGGTTTTCCACTTCTACTTCTCAATGATATTTTAAGGTGAGCTTGTGGCCCATGTCATCTCTGATTCTCCCCAGAGAATCAGAACTGTGCAAAGACAAAGGAGAGTGCATCTGTATTTTTAGCCTTTTTGATAACCAGCTACAGAGCAATCCTTTGAGTCAGCAACAAGATAATCTGAATCTGAGGCTGAGATGACTCAAATGTCTAGATGAGGTGCTTTTTGTGTGGCCCTGTGTGCTAACTAGCACTGGCTGTATAGCAGAGACTCTCAACCTCAGCAATATCAGCACTTTGGGGAGGGTAAGTCTTTATCGTAAGGTGCTGTCTCCGACATGTTGCATATTTAGCAGCATCCCTGGCCTCTACCTACCAGATGCCTATAGCACTCTTCCTCCAAGTATGACAATCAAAATATTTCTAGACGTTGCCAAACATCCCCTATGGGATTAAAAAAAAAAAAGCCATCAGCTGAGAACCACTACTTTAAAGTATGGTCTCAAAAGAGGATCCGAGATTATGAAAATATAAATATTACATTTATATTTAGTAAAGTAAAACTTCAAATGTATTAATGTTAAGAAAAGAGAATATGGAAGAATATAGCCTACTAAAAAGAAAAAAAAAATTCTACCCCCCTCAACGGAAGCATGCAAAAAATATTTCTATTTCTACATTTTATACAGATCTACATTATTTTTACCTTGCAGAAAACAGCATAGTGGTGACAAGCATGGACCTTGGAGTAAGACAGCCTGGGTGGGAATCCCATCTGTGCCTCTTTGTATTGTGTAACGTCAAACAAGTTACTTTCCTATTCTGTCCACACTTTCCTTAAGATGGGGATTTTATATACACACACACACACAGACAGACACATATGTGTGTGTGTGTATATATATATATATATATATATATATATATATATATATATATATTATACCTTGTAAAGTTTAATGGAGATTCAGCGTGTTGAAGTAGGTGTCGTACTTAGAACGATGCCTGGACCTGAAAGAACCATATGTACACCCCAATGTACACGTGTCAATCAGCGTTGTATTCATCTATCCATCAGCACTAATAACAGTATCACTTGTTGAGCACTTACTATGTATGAGGCAATGTTTCCGGTGCTTTCTAAATACTCTCCCTAACCCATACAATTTTATCAAGATATTATTTGTACTATCATCTCATACACATATCTGCCCTTGCTCTTACATTATACTTCACCAATTTTCACAACGTAGAACAGGGCTTGGCAAGCTACAGCCCTTGGTCCAAATCCAGCCCACTGCCTGTTATTGGAGCCTGCAAGCTAACAATTGCTTCTACATCTTTATTTATTATATGGTGCTGGGAATGGAACCCAGAGCCTGGCACACGCTAGCAACTGAGCTACACTCATGGCCCTGTTTTGTTTTGTTTTTGTTGTTGTTTTTTTAACATTTTTTAAAGGGCTGAAATAAAATTTTTGAACACATGAAAGTTATATGAAATTCAAATGTCAGTGTCCACAAAGATTTATTGTAACACAAGCAAAGTCACTTATTTACCTTTATAGCCTAGCTGCTCTTGTGCTATAACAATAAAGTTGATTACTGGTGATAGAAGCCTCTTGACTTGTAAAGCCATTACAATTAACTATTGGACTCTATAGAAACAGCTTGCAAACTCCTGATCTAGAACACAAAAGAAATCAGTAGAAGTAATTGTGTCAAGAATTTTCTATCACTTATATGAATGTTCACCACTCTTACCTTCCAAGGCATCTTTTTCTCTTTCTTGATCTGCATTCAGTTTTATAGTAACTTTAGTTTGTGCTCCCCCTAGTCCCCACTGACTCATGTCAGGCAATTGTTAGCCAAGATTGCTTTTAAATTACAACCACCTACCTCGGCCTCACATTCGAATCACCTGGAGAGCTTTTAAAACACACTGGCCCCTGGGCTCTACTCCCAGAGCTTTGACGTCATTGGTGTGAGGTACAGCCTGGGCACTGGGATATTGCAGAGTTCCCAAGTGATTGTCATGGTCAGTAGGGACTGAGAACCACTGGCCCAGACAAAGAACGGTTAGTTTTTAGCCCATATTTCTAAAAGATCCATGATGAGAACAGATCTTGTTAAAAACGCCAACTCCTCACTCCATCATAGACTCACTAAATCAACCTCCAGGCAGGAACCTGAGAGGCTGTGTTTAGTGAATGTCACAGGTGCATTAATGCTTAGGGAAGCTCAGGACCCACTGCTTGGCCTAAATCCTTTAAAGCATGCGGGATGATAACTCTTTGAAGGGTGGGACCTGAACTTCCAGCTCTTCTTACATGGCTGATGGAGTTAGCCTCAGCAAACCCATCACATTGGATCCCCCAGTTGTTTCCAGTTGTGTTTATACAATTGCCAGGAATCTATGTCCACATGTTGACAAAGCCCAGTCCTCAAGGAAGTGGACAGAGAGAGGTGTATCAGTGTTTTAATTCCCCAGGGATGCTTAACAATAAAATTCAGCTTTAGATTAAAGGTCTCTTTGGCTTTGGGTTGGGTTCTCTGTAAAAGTATTTCTCACTATGATTTCAAAATCTTCCCTTCCTACTCTCCCAAGGTGCTGGAAGGGAGGACACATCTCACTTCCCCACAACCCTACTTGATCGCAATTTCCCGAGAGCAGCTTGGGTCCTCTTCTAGTCCAAGATGAAGGGAGGCAGGGACCCATCTGGCTCCCAGACCCTATCTGAGTTGAGAGCCCATTTGAAGTATCCAGCTAGAGAGGATTCAAATCCAAGGAGTGCAGTGGCCACAGATCAGGGGACATGATAGGCACCCAGAGCTATCATGGAGGGCTCTTTCCTGGAGAGTAGGCAGGTTAGATTTTTAGACAAGATGAAGAACATGAGCTGGGATTTTAATCCAACTCTCGGTGACTTTGCTGCCCACCTTCCTTATACCAGACACACTAACCCTATTTTCAGAGGACATACGGGACTAGTGAAGTCATTTAAGTATTAAGCTGCAGAAGTTCTGGTAGAAGTGGGTACATTGCGTAAGTGGACCTACAAGTGTCAAGAAAAGATAATGCCTTAGAATGTTTTATATGAAATTGGGTAAAATGATGAAACCAGGACAGTTAACAAAATTCATTTCACTGAGAATCAATAAAACTTGATTCAATAAAGAGAAGGAAGCAACCAGGAAGAGAGAGTGATTTCAAGTCAGAAGGCACCAAGAGTGTATTATAGAATTTTAACCACTGAATTCCTTTCTTTGCATTGTGTAAAATACATACTCACAGAAACTGTGGAGTGAGTGCCAATGTGTTATGATGGTAAATCAAAATCATGCAAACCAAGTCAGACTGTGAACTATTTTTTTTTTTTTCAGTGCTGGGGATTGAGCCCAGGGCCTCTCATATGCTAGACAAGCACTCTATCACTAAGTCATACCTCATCCCTTGAACTAATACAGCATCCTACATGATTTAAAAAAAAAAAAAACTCTTTCCTGAGAAATTTTTGTAATTTGTTAATGTTCCTGAAGGTGTCAAGGTGTAGGGACCTAGGCACAAATAAAGATGACAGTCCCAGGGTGGGAGAGGAAAAGCAAATCACTTGGATGGAAAGAAAACTCAGAGGACACTTGGCATCTGTGTAACTGGCTGTCTGTGGTGATGACATTGCTTTTATTCATGATATTGTTTAACTCTGACGAATTTTCTCCTTTAAGGTATGGAAGGGAGGGGTAGGGTGGGGTGGGGGCTGGCATGTATCTCAATGGTAGATCACTTGCCTAGTATGCTCAAAGGCCTGGGTTCAATTCCCAGCAACACACACACACACACACACACACACACAAAGAGGTGAGGAAATTACATGCCAGTTTTGTCTGCAAATATATTAGGATATCAGAAACCCTTGATTCATATTAAGAATCTATTTATTCACTTACCAAAATGAGAGAGAGAGAGAGAGAGAGAGAGAGAGAGAGAGAGAGAGAGAGAGAGAGAAGGAAGGAAAGAAGAGGCCCTTTCAGTAGATAAGGCAGCATCTCTCCAGTTCCCCAGTATATCTCCCAACCAGGCTGCAGCTTCCTCTACCTTCCAAGCTCCCACCATGTCCCAGAACTCTGGAGGCCGCAATCCTCTTGCCCACACAGTGTGGTATTCTTTGCTATACGGTGGCCTTGGAAGAGTGCAGGTGATGTGAATTAACTAGCTTTGAGTTTCTACTCACAGCCCCTGAGGCCAGTAGTGCCTTGTCTGAAAAAGATTTTGCTTCTGTGCCATTTCCCTTAGGGTGAATTTTCTCTTGCAAGGCCCCCACCAGCTCTCTGTCACTCCATGCACCTTGACATTGCTGAATCCTCTAGTGACAGGCACCAACTTGAACCCTGAGGAGTTTTTCCTGATATCCATCAATTGAGCCAGTCACATCAGAATTCCCCCTCAAAGTGTGAGAGCCTCAGGATGAAATCTCTCTCTAGTCGCTGTGGGCTGCACAGACCCATGCCTTTCTGTGAGTTGTCTTCTCTCACTTTGTTTCAAAGAAGTAGATACCAAAAGTGAATATTCCAGCTGGGCACAGTGGCACATGCCTTCAGTTCCACCTTGGAGCCTAAAGCAGGAGGATCACTTGAACCCAGGAGTTCAAGACTAACCTAAGCAACATAGCAAGACCCTGTCTCAAAAACAAACAAACAAACCAAAATATTCCAACTGGGCTAGGGCAGGAAGGTAGTACAATGAAAAACAGGAAAAACCTTCCCAGTTCACTGACAAGCCAAACACTTTAAAGTATGAGAAAAAAGGAAAACACTCACTTAGAAGAAAACTGAAATGGAGTCTTAAGGTAAAGTCCGGGCTAGTTTCATGTTGGTTTGACCAATTTGCAGGAATTACGTGTGTCTTCTTTTCCTTCTCATGGGCATTATTTAATTGTCTAGTGTTAGGCAAAAATCCACTGTGCAGCAATAGTCCAGGAATCTCAAATCTGAGCCTGAGCAAGAGCCATCCTCACAAAGTTTCCCTGTTTTGCTAGGAAGACATAAGAAATCAGGTCATTGCAAAACAAAATGATACGTGGTGACATATACATACCAATACTGTGTGCCCAGAGACACACAGAGGGTCAGAAGGAAGACTACATATTAAGTTATTTCAAATACTACAGGCTTTTTTTAAAAAGTTCTTTTGCTAGTTTAAAGCCTATAATTTCATTTTGTCATGAATTCTCTGTCCTGTTTGCTGACCTTGTTCTGTCCTGCCATGCAGTGGCCTTGCCTGAGTCCAGGGCTCCTGGGCCTCAGCAGCCAGAGCACTGTATTGTATTTCCTTACAGCTGGCATATATCGGATACCTGATGCTCTTCAACTATATCGTGTTAGTGAAGATGGAGCGCTGGCCTTCAACCCAGGAATGGATCGTCATTTCCTATATTTTTACCCTGGGAATAGAAAAGATGAGAGAGGTAACTGCTTTCATAAAAGAAAACATAAGAGCAGGAGAGTGTTTATATTTGTGGATGGAGGGGAGAAGGGGATGCTTGGGATCCAAATTAAGCCAGAATCTATCTTTTCTAATGCCTTGAAGGCTGTTTCCTGCCACCTTTGACGAATCTGGGGAGGCTTCCCTGGCTGATGTTCACAGGGTTGTCACTCCATGACCGCTTTGGATATGGTCTATTTTCTGCTCACAAACCTTTTGTCCCAAGGAATCCTCCAGTTGTCTTCCACATCATTTACACCTCTCTTTACTTATCCCTATAAACATAACTTTTCATATTTGGCTATTTTTAATTCCCATTTCAATCTCTTACTTTGGGTCTCTTTGGACACAGTCCACCAATACCAATGTCATTTCTGCAAACGTCCTTCAGCAGCTCTAGCAGGGGGTCTGCTCTCGTTCATTTATTTAATTTATTCTCTAGTTGACTCCTTGTCAACATTTGTCATGAGCCTGCTGGGCACTAGCCTTTCCACCAGCCCTAGGGATCAATCACTAAGGCCAACTGAACACGGTTTTGGTCCTTCAGGTTGAGGCTATGGGGTTCCTCTTTTATCCCCTCATCCTTATGACCTAAAAGAGCTATTGAAATGCCACCCTTATATGATTTGTTTGGACTCAAGACAACCTCCCAGACAATGGATGCTACAAAAAAAAAAAATGAGATGAGAAAACATGGAGGAAACTTAGATGCATGTTACTAAGTGGGGAAAAAAAGGCTACCTGCTTCCAAATACATGATATTCTGGAAAAGACAAAACAGTGGAGCCAATAAAAACATCAGTGGTTTCCAGGGGTTGCAAGGAGGGGGATAAATAAGTGAAGCACACAGGCTGTTAAGAACAGTGAAAATACTCTATATGATACTGTTGTGGTGGATGTATGTCAGTACACATTGGTCCAAACCCATAGAATGTACAACACCAAGAGCGAGCCCTAGTGGAAAGGCTAGACCCTGAGCGATGTGATGTGTTGCTCTCCGTTCATCTGTGATAGCTCATGCTCTACTCTGGCGGGGGGTGTTGATAGTAGAGGAAGCTATGTGTGTGGGGGGGCAGGAAGTCCATGAGAAATCTCTGTACCATGCTGCAGATTTTGCTGCTCTAAAAAATAATATACTTCATTAATTAATAAATAAATAAAGCTCTAGATTCCAAATGCTTCTTCCAGAATGAATGTGGTCAAGCAAAAGTCCACAAGAGGGCTCTGCAGCCCTGTTCAACAAACTCCTGTTTCACCAGAGGAAGCCACAGAAAAGGCAGGCTTGTGAGGGGATACAGGCTCATCTCATCTGCACTTTCCTTGGAACTGCAGGGCCCAGAGGGGTGTGTTCTGGAGGCAATGCTCTTGTCACATCCACCACACCTCCAAGAGCTCAGGAACAATCCTGGTTGCTGTACTTCAGGGGATGGATGGACCTCATCGAAAAAAGGATTCCTACAATCCACATATCCACCCTGATTTTTCTCACCAAAAGAGGTTCAGAAGGACTTGCCTTCTTGAATTCCAGCTCAAGAATGTTCTCCTCCAGAGAAAACATGCGGTGTCTATTAGATGCATTTGTATTGGAATCATAAAAAATTTTTTTCTTGGTATTCAGAGGCTTTCTCTTGGGTTTTTAAACTGGGAGATATTTTAATTCTAACTAAAATGTCTCCATCCCAAGAACTTAGGACAAGGTATATTAGCCCCATTAAATATGACTGGATTAAGTTAAAAACAAACAAAAGCAATGGAGTACCCTGTCTTGTTCTAGCTGGTTGTCTACACTGAGGTCCCCCAGTTCACAGAGCCTTCTGCTTCTGGACGGAGGTTGTGGATTTGCCTTTTCAACTAAGAGCAGCATAAGTTTGCTCTGGTTTCTGTGTGGCTCTGAGAACTGGGCTGCCACTTCGGGGGACCCAGTGGCTGTGCAGTGCCAGCTGGCGTTCTTGCAACTTAACGCATATTCCTTCCCCACAACAAGCAGAAGAGGGAGAGACTGGAGCCTGGAGATTGGAGTCTCTCCAGGGACTAGGCTGGAAGAAGACAGGGAGCAGTCTGTACTCCATGGACTGTTCTGGTGGAGACTGCCAAGCCGGCCAGCTGCCAGGACCTTCCGGGCCTAGCTCTCTCTCTCTCTCCCCAGGCAGCATGTCATGGCAGGAGGGCAGGGCTTCCCAGCTGGGTCAGGAGGGGGTCAGAGGAAGAGTCTTGGCTCCTGAGGAAGCTGTGGGGAGCCAGGCAGTGACTGTCTTAGTGTCTGACCTTTCTCTCTGTGGCCTGGTGAGGTTACCCCTCACCCTGTGTCCCTGCCCTGAACTCCATCAAGAGATTCTCCACTACCAAGGGGAAGAAGACCCCCCGCTAGACACCCGCCTGAGGAGCTCAGACGCAAGATCCTGGAAACATGGAAAAGTTTGCACTTCCGTGCCTCCCAAGGGATAAACAAGGACAGCTCTGTGGTTTCACATGCTGCCTTCCCGTTCCCAGCACCACATACTTCTGCCAGTAGTCACCAGGCAAGCCATGGTAATCCCTTAACAGAGTGGCACTGTTTACAGCATGGCTTTGTAGACGTTATCTCATTCCGGTCCTCCTCCCCCCAACTCTGTGAGGTCAATGGCACAGTTATGATGACATCCCCACTTTACACGTCTGGGAACCAAGGCTCAGGGTCGTAAGCAATTTTTTTTTTAATCCACAGCTGGAAAAGAGGGCTAGGACTGAAAACTGTCACACCATCTCAAGACTCTTTCCTCTGCAGGGTCCCAGGATGCTAAGGAAGGTCCTTGGGGTTGGGGGGAGATTCCTGAATCTTGACCCTTGATCTTTTACTTCTGCTTCACCCCAAGCTATTTTGCTTTTATCTCTTTTCTTAATGTTGTGGGACACCACAAAAAAAAATGTTTTCACTATTTAAAAATTTTACTATATAACTCTGTGTTTAACAGTTTGAACAAAAGGTTAGAAAAGCTCCAGGGTTTTGCCCATCCTCCCTCCCTCTTCCTCTTCTTCTCACACACACACACACACACACACAGAGAGAGAGAGAGAGAGAGAGAGAGAGAGAGAGAGAGAGAGAGATGGGTTGAGATGGGGCCAAGAGTGAGAAACAACCAGGACAATGGCAACACTCCTGATGGGTACAACAGTGGCTCTCAGAGACATGTTAGAAAGGAAGATCCTCTGGCCCACCCCAGGTCTGCTTCAGCAGGAACTTGAAGGTGGAGCCAGCCATCTGTGTTTTAACCAGCCTTGAATATGATTTTGATGCACACTGAAATTCAAGAAACCCTGGGCTAGAGGTCAGAGGAGAAACACTGTAGAGGATGAAGAACAAGGCTACCAGGTGATTCTTGATATCTTGCTCAGCCTTCCAAACCCAAGCCTTGATTTACTAAACTTCCCCTTCTTAGTATTTCAGACCAGGGTAAACCATTATAGTGGATATGAGGATTCAATCAAATAACAGCTGATTATTTGAAATAATCAATAATAACCAGAGAAATGACTGTCCCCAGTCTTTTTTCTCCTCTTCTTTGAGACATCCTGAGTGAGAGAAAGGGTCGGTCATGGTGAAGAGTTGGAAACCTTAGTAGTAAACATAAGAGAATCATGAGATTGACATTTCCTAGAGCCCACGTGTGGTAGTCTCTCTTGGCTTAAAGTAAATCGAGAGTTCCACCCCGCAACTCAAATGTGTAAAAGACAGGAGAATTGCTGCCAGGTACCAACGCAACGTCTATTGACAAATATTTATTGAGTGTCTATTATGTAACAGGCCTGGAATACAAAGGCTCTGCTCCCAGAGTTCACAATCTAGTGAAGAGGGAAGGAAGGAAGGAAGGATGGATGGATGGATGGATGGATGGGCATACACATATTCATATAAACGTACATATACATGTACAGAGAAGATAATTTTATAGTGAGAAAGACTTCAAAAATTCAATAGGGCAATATATTAGAGAGTGACTTGGAGACATGGAAGCTACTGCAGCTAAAATGGTCAAAAAAAAAAAAAAGCCTTCCTAAGTAGAGGACATCAAGGAGAGACATTGAGGATGAAGAAGAGACAAATATGTAACATTCTGGGAGAAGAAATGCCCAACAGAAGGGATAAGCACAATGTCCTGAACATGGGATGGAATTTCTGTGCTTAAGAGCAGGCCAATGTGGATGCAGGGTACAAAGGAAGGGAGCATGTGACGGGACATGAAATGAGGCCACAATAAGGAGTTTGGGATTTTCTCTAATGTAATGGAAGCCATCAAAAATTTTAAGTATGCATCTATCATAATTTGCTTTAGTTTCTGTTGTTGTTCATTTGTTTCTCAAGTCTCTCCTTTTTAAAAAATGAGGACTAATTAACCCGTAACAAATACTAAAGATGCAGCTTGATGAGTTTTTTGCCTACACAAACAATCCATTCTGTAATCACCATTCAGATCACAGCTTAGGTTTTTGAAGATCAGAGAACGGATTCCAGTCTGGTAGGCAATAATGACAACAGGGATGCCAGTTAGAAGCTTGCCACAATCATGTGTGAGAGGTAATGGGACTTAGATATAATGGGAAATGGAGGTAGTGAGAAGTGGATGGTCAGGTTGTGCTTAGAAGTGATAGGACTGGTTGATTCGAGGGAGGAGTTAAGGAGTGTTCCTGAGGGAGTGGCCTGAGTAATTCAATATGGCGGAGCTGTTTACTAAAGTGGAGGAAGATTTTGCAAAAGATTTGTAGCATACTAAGAAAAACAATGTTATAGCAAAACCCCCAAAGGATCAAACTTATTGCTTATATCTGCTTCTAGACCATTTGCATTTGGATCACCTAAGCTTAGCTCAGTTGTATATTGCTAGCATGCAAGCATTCAAGTAGACACAGATGGTGGGGGGGCTACTGATATTAGCTAACAAACCAAGCACATTCCAACTGGGCTTGAAATATAGACACAAACCACACTTTAACTCCACTCTCTCTCTCTCTCTTGCCTTGTAGATTCTGATGTCAGAGCCAGGCAAGTTGCTGCAGAAAGTGAAGGTGTGGCTGCAGGAGTACTGGAATGTCACAGACCTCATAGCCATCCTTCTGTTCTCTGTTGGAATGATCCTTCGTCTTCAAGACCAGCCCTTCAGGAGTGATGGGAGAGTTATCTATTGCGTGAACATCATTTATTGGTACATCCGTTTACTAGACATCTTCGGAGTGAACAAGTATCTGGGCCCATATGTAATGATGATTGGAAAAATGGTAAGCAGTGTCACATTCCACAATTAAACACTCAGGGTCACCCCAGGTGAACTGGGCTGGCACGCAGTGATCACACAGAGACAGAGAAATACCTTTTTCTTTGGGTCCTATGATGGCTCCTCTGACCTTAGGGGTCCGTGGAAAGAGAGAGAAGAGAGGAGCTGAACATTTTATTGGGAAGAAGCCATTCAAATGAGGCAAGGAGAAGGATTACAAAGGAATAGGTGAGTGTAGCTCAATCCCCTTGGGTGACGCCTGCACCTGAAGACGCGCCTTGCTATCTGAGCTGGGACAACACCCAAGTCACCACGAAATGTAGTGATTGTTCAAAGCCTCGTGCTTCAGGACTGGAAGACGTGGTCATTCAGAGCAGCTCACCACAAAGGAGGGCTCTCTAATTCCATGTTTTAAGTTCTCAGAGGAAGAGTTATAATAATAGGAGGAGGACTATAATTTATTTGGACCTGCTATCAAAGTCTGCAAGAGATAGCTCCAGGGGTGTTTTACTTTATCCCCCCCACGCCCCACTCATACTGGGGAATGAACCCAGAAGTGGTCTACCACGAAGTTACATTCCCAACTCTTTTTATTTTTTATTTTGAGACAGGGTCTTATTAACTTGCCTAGGCTGGCCTCAAACTTGTGATTCTCTTGCCTCAGCCTCCTGAGTCACTGGGATTACAGTCATGTACCACCAAGTTTGGCTGGGTGTTTTATTTTTTAAATTCCCGTTAAGTGTTTGGGAGTTTGACTACATCTGTATACAAAAACTGGGGAATTTAATTATTAGCCATTTGCAAACTACAGAATATACAAAGATGATCTATTTTGTGCCAGGTACCAGCCTAGGATTTGAATGTACAAAGAGATTCTTTCTATGAAATAAACATTGAGAGAAAGAAAGAAAGTAATTAATACACAGTGTGAGGATGTTGTGGTAGATGTGTATAAAGTACAAAAAGAATATAGGTCAGAAAAGCATTCACATGAAAGTTATGTTGTAGCTGAGTCACAAATTTTTAACAGATTTTTAAAGATTTTTTTTTAAAGATGCTTTAAAAAAAAGTTATAGAAAGATTCATTTCGCTACATAAATGGAAGAAAAACAGTGTGTGTTTGAGTTGAGTTCAGTTGAGTTTGAATTTTGAATTGAAGATCATACGTTGTGTGTATTCTTACACTGCTAGGAAATAATGTCTGTTTAAAAAAAAACAAAAAACAAAACTGGGCACTCTGGCACACATCTATGGTCCCAGTGGTTCAGGAGGCTGAGGCAGCAGGATCGAGAGTTCAAAGCCAGCCTCAGCAAGGCTAAGTAACTCAGTGAGACTCTGTCTCTAAATAAAATGCAAAATAGGGCTGGGAATGTGGCACAGTGTTTGAGTGCCCCTGAATCAATTACCAGTACTGGGGGGGCGGGGAAGCTCCAAAATGCTGCACCTAAATCTTTAACATAGAATCCCTAGCAGAACAAAGTAATATGCTTCCTCATAAATGGCCAAGGACTTTATCCCATATTTCTTAACCACACACCAGCTTTTAGTCTTTTTCCATAAAAACTGAGCCCTAGAGGACAGCACTGACAAAAATCAGGGAGTGCATGAGTAAATTGACTCCTTCCCCACACTCCCTAGACAAAGAGTCAGATCCTGAATCCCAAACACTAGGCATTTTATCAGATCTCCCACTTCTTCTGTATATCCCCTTTGTAGGACCTATTTGGGAAAGCTAAGTACATCCATCCTACCTATGTGAACACCTCTTAATGAGAAACCTCTTTATTAATAATCTGCATTTTTATTGTATGAGATATTGAAACCAACAAGTGGTCAATAGAGGTCTGTTTCTTTTTCATTCTTTCTCTGTGTGTGAGAGAGGGGGTACGGGGTTTCAACCCAGAAGGGGGTGCTTTATTACTGAGCTACATCCCCAGAACTTTTTACTTTTTATTTTGGGTCAAAGTCTCGCTAAATTGCCCAGGCTGGCCTCAAAATTGCCATCCTCCTGCCTCAGCTTCCTGAATTGCTAGGATTACAGGTGAGTGCTACCATGCCCGGCTAATAGCTATACTTTTTCAATAGATATCCTTCTTCAAAAACTCAAGTTTTACTATATACATCATTATATATAGTTTTACTATATATAATTTTTTTCACTATATATAGTTTTACTATATACATCATTGCCAACTCAATATTTATCAAACATCTGGGTGTGTGACTACTAAAATGAATCTTACATACAAAATCTTCCTACAAAAATCACTTACAAACTCTTGCAAGAATTTGAATTCACAATGAATTGAGTAGAAGACCTTAAGCAATGTACTTAACCTCTTTGAGATTCAGTTTACTCATTTTTCAAGTAGTAATGAATAATGAAAGTGCATCTTGTAGGTTTGTTGTGGATCATTAGAAGTACGTTAAGTGGCCATCCATGTCTGGCTCATGGTTTAGTGGTTGATAAATTGTATCTGCTATCATTATGTTTATATTGCGTTTTTAAAGTACAATGTAAAAAGGAAATATCAGTAAGCATGATTATTCTGCTATAAATTTAACCTTTTGATACAGAAGGTTGGTATTTGTAATATCAGCCATATTCAAAGTATGTTTTAGTCAGCTTTTTGCTGCTGTGACTAAAGAATCCAACCAGAACAATTGTAGAGGAGGAAAGGTTTATTTGAGGACTCATGATTTCAGAGGTCTCAGTCATAGAAGTGTGGTTCCATTTCTTGGGGCTCAAGATGAGGCTGACCATCATAGCAGAGTGTGTTACAGAGGGAAGCAGATCACATCATAGTGATTAAGAAGCAGAAAGAAAGAGAACCCACTCTCTAGATACAAAATACATACCCCATAGCCACACCCTAATTAACCACTTCCTCCAGCCACACCACATCTGCCTCCAGTTACCGCTCAGTTAATACCATCAGGGATTAATTCAAAGATTCTCCTCCAAACCTTCTTGCATAGTCTCACACATGAGCTTTGGAGGGACACCACATGCAAACCATAACAGGGCACATATCACCAAACCATTCTAGAGAGGAAAAATTTGAATTCTCAAACTGAAGTTACTCACTCAAAACTGAACCCCAACTCAATTGAGTATTTTTTGGCTAGGAAAAAAATATGTATATTACTCTGTTATTCTACCTGGTATGTTGTCTTTTTTTTTTTTTGTACTTTAATGATGAATTTGAGATTTTGGTGAGAATATCTGTCTAAGGACAGATTCTATAGTTGGGGCTTAGTAGAGCAGTCTATGGATCCTTCCCCCAATTTATGTATGAGTAGTAGGTGAATTTTCTTGACAAACTTTTATGAAATTCTCAAATGAATTGTTCCTTGGCCCAATGACAGTGAAGAACTCTAACAGCTATAAAACATTAAGCTTTCTCCACCTTGACACTCTTGATACTCTGGGCTAGGTAATTCTTTGTTTGAGGCACCATCCTATATATTACAGGTTGTTCAATGCTGTGGCCTCTGCTCATTAGATGCCAACACACAGAGTTCTGACAAAACTGTCTCCAAACATTGCTGAGTGTCTCCTGAGGGACAAAAATTACCCTCTGCTGAGAACTACAGCACTAGGGGTGGGGGTATTTAGTCTGATTGGTTGGTTTTCTGATGGTCACCTTATATTAACAATTAAAAATTGCAAAAACCCAAACTGACCAAATATAATTCTTTTAAGAATCTAGGTGGCGTTTAAACACTTGAAATAACTGAAGTTACACTAATACAGCAAGCTTATGTTAAAATCCACATCTGTCATTTTAATAATGGCATAATTATCCCCAGTTTTGACTAGAATGAAATCTTACTAAGGATTGAGCAAGAGGAATGTACTGCGTTTTCTCTACCTCCTAACTTATGAATGACTTCATTTGTCAGTCAAGAATAGGTAGAAAAATGAGAATATTTAAGGACTTTGCTTCTCTTCTATGGAAATTTTAAGATAATTAGTTCAATAATTGAGTCATTGATCCAGAAGGTAGATAAAATACGTCTGTAGAATTTATGAGGGAGCCAGATGGGCTGCCAGGCTGGAAGTGGAACAAAATATTCCCAGATGTGTTTACACAGAAAGCCCCTCAACATTAGAGAGACTCGTTTCAGTATTGAACAGTCAGGTACTCACTGTGCCCTGAAGTCTAGAGACAGACATCACTGAGATTCCTGGACACAGGAGGACTATTTTGAAATTGGTTCTGTGTCCCTTTGCATTGCAGAAGAATCCAGTGTTCCAAGTGCTAACATGGAAACCCACTTCTCCAGTAAAATCCCATTTGATCTGCAGGTCAGGATTGCTTGAAATCCTAACCCCTTGCCTTCATAATCCATTTATCAAGACAAGTCTCTAAGCCAAGTCTCAGCTCACTTATATAATGCAGAACAAAAACAGCATCAGCAACTACCCTTTACTATGTGCCAGATACATGAGACATGTCTTCATCATTACACCCCAAGAAATAGGTCTTAGTATCTTCATTTAGCAATACAATAAACTGAGATGTAGCAAAGACAGCGGCAGGATTTTAGCTCCTGATTCCAACACCTGACCTCCTTCCACCTCTAATAATAATCCATTAACAGCAATTGAGAACTCACCATATTAAGTGTTCACATGTTATCACATTTAATTCTTATAACAATAATATGCATTTTTGATGTTATTACTGTCCCCATTTTAAAAATAAAAAAATAATAATAAGATTAAGCAACTTGCCCCAGGCCACTTAGCAATCCTTTTTGTTTTTCTTTTCTTCTTCTTTTCCATTTTTTTTTAATGGTCAGGGAAATGTTCAGAAATCTTTTATTTTCTTTTCCTGGAGTCATCTTTAACTTTTTTCTTGTATTTTTTTCCACTTAGCTTTTTTTTGCTAGTAAAGCCCAGGTGAAAACCCAGGTTGTCTGTCACCTGAGAAAATGTGCAGAATCACTAGAGTACATACTCTCCTGTGTTGAGCACGCTGAAAGGTATTTCTAAAAATAGTGCAAAATCTTAACATTGAAGTGAGTGAATGATTTAGCTTTACAAACACAAGGAGTCATCCCCTGTTCTCATTAATAGTGCTCAGATTTTTATATTTGTATGGAAGTAAAGACTTTCAACTATACAAAGCTAAGCAGTTGAGAAGAATATGTCTGCTTTTTGGTTATTTTGACCCTCTGGAGAGATATCAGAACCAATCTGAGTGAAAACAATGGTGAGAAATTAAATTAGTATGGTTTCTGTATTTACTGGCTGAATTTTCTTGGGTCAAACAAGTTCCTAAATCTCATGAGTGCATACCGGCCTCTCCCACCCATTTTTTAATTAATGTAAATAAACATAATACAAAGGACTCATGTGTGCTTTTTTATTGATAGAACTTCTCGTAAATAAGTGATGAAAGAATTTTACAAAATAGAGAGAATAGATGAAAAACAGATCCAGATTTCCTATAAAATGATTTCAACACAGCCAGCTTGCTCACACAAAGAGTCCTGAGACCATTAAATTGTGGAAGGAATAACTAGCTAGCATGTATCTATGAGGATAATGAAAAATAAAAATGGATGTCAAATTTGGAGGGATTTGGGGGCTGGGGTGTGGCTCAGTGGTAGAGCACTCGCCTCACACGTGCGAGACCCTGGGTTCGATCCTCAGCACCATATAAAAAATAAATAAGTGACCTTTCCCATGAACAACCAACAATAAAAAATTTAAAAAAATAAAAAAATAAAAAAAGAACATGTTATAAAAAGAAAAATTACTAGAAAATTTGAAAAAAAAATAAAATAAGTGAAATAAAGGTATTGTGTCTAACTACAACTGAAAAGTAAATATTTTTTAAAAATTGGAGGGATTTGTATTTTGTTTCAAAGTGAGAAATGGCTTTTGAAGTTGCCTTGGAAGTTGATTAATTGATCTAAAATATATTGAGACCCCAATGTCCTAAGGCATACAGGAATGTTTGAATTTCAGCGACATGTATCAAGGAATATACTCTTTCAAAACAAAAGTTTTCAAATTCATCTAGGGAGTAGAGAGTATAGCTCAATGGTAGAGCATTTGCCTAGCATGCATTAGGCCCTGGGTTCAATCCTCAGAACCAAAAGGGGGGGGGCGAGGATTGGTTGGCTTCTCTGTGTAGGACCCACTTCCCATCTCCCATCACCATTGCCAGGGGGTGAAGTGTTTTCATTAACCTCTCCTGGGAAACAAAAGGGTGGAAACTTTTCTAAAAGAAGGAGGTAATGAGTTCTGGCCTGGCAAAATCAATAGTCATTGCATCCTCATCTATTTTGGGTAATAAAAGGAAAGCAATTTGGCATTTGAGAATCAAATCCCAAATAACATATATCACAGTAATAAATAAGGAAGGAAGAGGAATAAGAGACAACGTTGTACTAAAATTCAGTAGAAGGATTTTATAAACATATCAAAGAGAAAATGCATCAGTTCAGCAGTAGGTACAGGTGCAGGTCATTAGGCCACCTGGTTCTAATGCTAGGAAAACAACATCCATAACTAATAAGATACCTGCAGGAGGAGTATAGGAAGACTAGTTCTCTGAGAGACTGGTTTGTGCTAGACAAACAATGGAATGTGGTCACAAGAAGATGATAGAACTGGCTTTATTTACAAGAAATTATTTTATTGAGCTTTCCAATTCTTTGTCAGCTTTTCAAAATGAGAAAGGGAATTTACTACATTGTACAAGTTCTTGAAATAGTTCAACTATCTCAATTACAGTTCTACCAAGAAGAGCCCCAAAGAGACCATCCCCACTACCAACACCAACCCCCAAAAGCAGAGAAAAAGTTCGTGTGGATGTCACATCCTTTGTGATGCGACTATGACTCCCTTGCCTAGACTTGACTATGTCCCAGAGAAAGCAATGAAAAGCAAAGGGACTTCATTTGGTGTGTACTTTTTTTAAAAAAAAAATGTTTTTTGAGTTACTGATAAGATTCTGTAAGTGCTCAGTTGGTAGAGTCCTTGGTTTGCATGCATAAGGCCCTGGGTTCCATCCCCAGCACCACCAAAAAAAAAAAAAAAAAAAGATTCTGTGGACATGGGACTCAATAGGCCAGCTGTCCTCCTATATGGACAGAATTCCCTATCAAAACATCCCTTATCAGCAGTTAGAAAGTGACTTTCCTTCACAGATGTTCCTCAACATCAGCATTCACTAAAGCATTCAATCACATGGGTTTTCTTGTGTTTTTCCCTCTGCTTCTCCACTCTTCCAGATGATAGACATGATGTACTTTGTCATCATTATGCTGGTGGTACTGATGAGCTTTGGAGTCGCCAGGCAAGCCATCCTCTTTCCCAATGAGGAGCCATCATGGAAACTGGCCAAGAACATCTTCTACATGCCCTACTGGATGATTTATGGGGAAGTGTTTGCAGACCAGATAGACCGTAAGCAAGTTTATGATTCTCATACACCAAAGTCAGGTATTTAACTTCAATTGGGTTGTGTCTCTTCCAAGTTCATCTATTTGTTCTCAATAAATGGCTCAAGATAGAGGACCGATTCCTAGCTTGTTATCCTTGTGGAAAAAAAAATTACAGAAGGTGAATATACAATTTTAGCAAAGTAGTCCTTAGGTGTATTTTCAGGTATGTCTTTCTGTCTCACAAATTGACATCTGGTATACCAAATTGGATCCAAAAATGAATCATTTAAAAAGATCTAAATTTTTGTTTTTGTGATTCAAAATCCAAGGGCCATGTGTTGGATGTTTTGGTATCATGAATATATTATGTCACAACTCCCCACTCCTAACCCAACACTTAACCCTCAGTCTTTTAAAAAAATTAAGTCCTTGAGTTTGACTTCAGACCAAATAAACAATTCTCAATTTTGTCATCAGAATTCAAGGGTAAGGGCAAACATCTGTATGGTGTTTCCCTTGCACTGGAAAATATTCTCCAATTCCCTTTCCCACTGTCTTAAATTATGTGCTTTTGAGACTCATAGGAAGTTAGTATTCATTGCCTGGAAGTATGGAAAATGCCTTAGGTCATAAGCTGAGCTGCTTGCTATAAATGCCAGAAAAAAAAATAGTATCAGTATCATGAAGTGATTCAGTGTGAGGACCCAGCACAAGCAGGCTCCCAATGTTTCAAGCGTTAAAAATACTGATTCTCCATAGTAAACACTCCTTTTGTATGGAGTTTGAAGATAGTTGTAGCCTAAGAGTCTGTTCCAAGATTTTATTTGGACCAAATGTCAGGGTGCACCAGGCACTGGGAAATTACTGGGGAAGAAAGCATCAGGAAAGAGAAAATCTTTTAGTTCAGTGGAGTTGAATCCCAGAAGCAGCTATCTCTCATTTTCCCTGAGGAGTTTAGCTCTGGAAATAACATCCCTCCAACACTGTCGAATTAACGTTTTTTAGACAGTTTTTGCTGACAGGCCAACCATCTGAGCCCAGACTGTGGACATGGATTAGGGTTACATAACCAGGTAGGATAGCTTATTAGAAGCAGGAGCAGAGATTAGTCAGCATCCCAGTCCCCTTGCCCATCTCAGATCAGGCCAAACCAGCAACACACAGACAAAGCACTCAGGAGTGATTCCTCCAGTCCTGGGAAGAGCAAGTATACACTGGCAACAGAACACACCAGCACGTCATTTTCCCCCTCATGATGGATTTTGAACAAATACCGCTTCCCTCTCCAAATGCGTTATCGGAGGCAGACGAGGCTTTTTGGAACACCTAATTGGAACAAATATTTGTGTATGAGACTTAGCCAACTCACTGAGAAAGAATCTTAACTCCATCCCCCAGTTATAATTGGTTGACAATGTCCAGGCTTCTGCCAGGGCACCTTCCCAGCGAGTGGAGACAATCCTTGAGAGCCTCCTTTCCAATGGTCCCTAGAGGAAAACTCTTAAAAAGCCCACCTGTAATCATCATCCTTGGAGATTAAGTATGTTTTTCCCCCCTAGAAATTGCTTTTCCACTTAGTTATGCTATTTTAGCCTTTTCTAGTTGTCATTTCTTCCCCAAAATGAGATGAAGCTCCCATGGGTTTGTTTGACAATGAAGGATGGGAGAAGCAGGGAGGTGTAGATATATTTTATAAATGGGATTCTGTCTGTCCCTCTACAAGTGGCCATTTATTGATGTTGTACTATGAACCCAGCCTAGTGCAACAAACACCACCATCTGGCTGAATAAGAGGATTTTTTATTGCTATTTTAAAAGAAGGGCTGATTGTAGTTTAGAACTTGAAAACCCCAGTCCCCGGAGATGGAAGAGAGGTGTTTTGTGTGAATGAAGTATGAAAATAGATTCCCCACACTGTGAATTAGATCTGTGGTGCTCTACGTGTGTGAGAATAAATTTCTACCCCAAATCCCCATCTGTAACTGACCCAGCCTTGGATGGATGCAACCTTGGTAATGCCCTTCCCCCTACCACTTACCTCCCTTTGTGACGTTCTGAAATTGGCTACAGCAGTAGCCACTGTTCTAAGCTAAATCAGCCAGTTTTCTGTCTAGAGTGCTAATGTATATTCGTCCTTTCTCAAATGGATACAGAAGGCTGCCCCCAAATCTGTCACTCTGTTTGGCGAAAGTCACTGAACATCCGTGTCCTCTAAAATGATTTGCTATTCATGCTATGGCACCAGGTGGGCTCAATGAGGATTGCATGACTACCCCACTTGGTTGTTCAGAATCGCCCAAGAGACCCAAGTACTAAGCTGTTTGAGAAAGGTACAGATCATTTCTGCCGCCCCACAGTGTCTGCCTCTTCTCTGTGCCGTGTCCAGGTTGGTGTGTGAAGCATGTATTCAGGCTGATCGGATCTCATGTCCACCTGGACCCACAGCCCTGTGCAGGGTCTGCCAATCCCATCCTGTGGATGTACCCTGTGTGGGCCTCTCCAAGTGCTGCTCATTCAAACACACCTCAGGCAACTCATTCCAAACGTGATGCACGTGCTCTATATCTAAATCTTGTTGATTTTTGACTTCAAAATTGCTGAACCCATTTCATGTTTGGGAAATGATCTTTCTTTATTGGGTAGATATATGGGGATGTTCAATGGGATCCTTGGGATGGGTCATTAACATCAATTATATACCTCAGAATAGAGGACAGCTTAAATGTTCCTCACTTCTGGGAGGCAATATTACCTAAGTGAGAATTTTTTTATATGCATTTAATCTTTTTTCTTGTCATTTGCTCTAAACACAGAACTACCAATAATGCCAAAGATACTAGAATTAGATTTGAAAGGTTACTTTCCAAATGTGCTTAAAAATTAAAATCAAAAGAAAAAAATGGAGTCACATAAAATCACCAAATAACTTAAGGTGTTTTTCACCTCCGACAAATGATAGTCCAGGCTTAATCTAAGTTATCCGTGGAAGTTAAAACATTTTCTTTGGTGTTGAAAGCAGAGAGGAGTGGAAGAACATGGCTGGAAGAAGATAATGAATCTGGGGAAGGGGCTGTGATGGTTTACTTTACCCTGGAAACTATGCCTAACACTCTGATTTAACTCACGGGGTTTGCCAGGCATGGTAGTGCACACCTGTAATCCCAGCAACTCATGAGGCTGAGACAGGAGGATTGCAAGTTCAAGACCATCCTGAGAAACTTAGTGACACCCTGTCTTAAAATAAAATTAAAAGGACTGGGGATATAGCTCAATGGTAACGTGCTCCAGAACCACAATGATCATAATAATAATCACAATAACTCATGGGAATTGAACTTGCTACTGTTTGGTTGGTTAGTATTTGTTTTTTGTGTTTTTTTTATTGTTTTTTTATTTTTTTAAATAGCCCCAAATTGTCTTCAGGTACTTGTGTTATACATAATACTAGCTCTCTAAGACCCAGTTAAGGGCTACTGTGAGGTCATTTGGGCTTCAGGTTGTTAAATACATTGAAACCAAATGATGACATTCTTTTTGGCGGTCTCATTAGGGTGACCCATGTTGCATGGCCTCTGAGAGCTGGTCAGGATCCCACTGGAGCTTGATGGGTAAAAGTCACTTAGAGTAAAGAGGCGGCAGAATAAATTTCCAGCAGCAACGCTGCCAAGGCCAGAGCAAAGTTAAAATTAGATTCTCACCAGCTTAGAAATCTGGTTCTACAGTTTGGTGTGTGGGGTGCCTGGAAGTGCAACTTTGTTGGAAGAGAAAATGGGGCATCTCTCGCTTTCTCTTGCTTCCAAATGAATGAGACTTCAATTTATTTACAGGGTATCCACGTGCTGCCTGGTGTCTATTCAGATTCCCCAGGCTGTACCTAGGCGGGGGAAAAATGAATCATACTCTTGAATGCATTAAATGAGGGTCTAAATTTAGTCCTTCTTTCTGCCTCTCTGAGTATTTTTACAAATTTAGATAGTACTGTGAAAGCAAAATGTCCAAAACTTACTTTCTACCATGACAACTTAATATTATCTAGCCATTTCCATTCACTCCAAATTAACTACCCAATCTTCTTCATGCATGGGCCAATTTTTGTGTCTTACTGTTTAGGGCTTTTCATCTGAAATTAATAGTCAGTATGGAGTAGTAGGGTGTTTTTTGTTTTGCCTTGTTTCGTTTTTATTTGATTGATTGATTGAGTAGAAACCTTTGCTAGATCTTTCAAAAGTCCTTACTCTTTGGGATGCATGTTATCCCCGTGACGCTGACTGGAAACAAAGATCGTGCATGTGCATATGGAGCTACAACACTCTCCTGAATTACTTTTATGCCACAGATTAATTGTTCCTCACTTCAGGTGTGGAAATTAGGACAGCTCACGGAGCCGGTCTTTAAAATATGCCTGCCGATGGGGAAACCAACAACACTGTGAACGGAGATGATGGCAATTGTTATGCATCTCCATCGTTAGACTCTAGTTCTCAAAACTCAGCTCTGTGCATCTGTTTAGTATTCCAGGCTGACCTTCTCTAATGGATTCAGAGCACACAAATGCCTAACAGCTATAGTGCAGGGAGTGTTGCCTGACCAAAGAAAGTATTCTGGAAAAGAAAAACTTGAGCCACTGCCAACTTTGGAGGAAGTGGGGAATTGTTTGGTTGCGTTTTAATTTTGCAAATTGCTAAGGAAGCAAGCCAACATCAGCCATTACCGCCCCTATTTTCTGTTCCTGAAAGTCAACTCACATTATAGGCAATACTCCACCTGACTTGTTTACTAGTGCAAACTAAGGCTTAATAGATTTCCGAATAACAGAGCTATTTGCAACAGGCCTCTGAGATGATTCAGTATATTGTTGTGGTCCACATTTGTTCCACTGTCATGATAGTCACTGAGCATTTGCTCATAGGTCGGGCTCTGTATTAGATTAATTCATTCTTCATTTGATGGATGCTTATTTTGTTCTTTCTATGAACTGGAAAGTGAGGTACAGAGATACACATGACACAGATACTTTCTTCA